GATGACAGCTCTGCAGCAAGGCTAGAGAACAAACAGTATAGATTGGAGCAGAACACAAGGCTCTAGAAAGGTTTCCAGAAGAAATTTTGAAGGAATTGCTAGATTACTGGGTATGTCTGAACATTTGTGGAGGGGCACGACACAGACACACAGGAAACATAGATAAGGAAGTAAGTTGCATTTGTAAAAAAAAAAAATAGTGATAAATAAACTCATAGTTTAAAAAATAAGTGAGGCCATGAACCACTCCATAAAAACAAACGATTCAAGAAAATGTTTGAAACCACAGTATACTACTGACTTTGCAGTGAGCAATATTCACATAGCTGTAATACTGACGGATATGGATAGAACAACCATTTAAGGCAACTACTACCAGAAAACAGAAAATAATAAGCGTTGGTGGGGATGCAGAGAAATGAACCCTTGTACACTATTGGTGGGGTTATAAAATAGTACAACCACTGTGTCAAAGAGTAAGGAGGTTCCTCAAAAAATTCAAAGAAGAACTACCATATGATCTAACAATACTTCTGGGCATAAATCCAAAAGAACTGAAAGCAGGTCTTGAGGAGATAGGTATCTCTAGCAGATAAGCACCCAAGTTCAAAGCAGTACCATTCACAACAGCCAAGAGGTGGAAGCAACTCAAGTGTCCACTGAAGGATAAATGGATAAAGTGTGGTACATTAGTCAGCCATAAAAAGGAAGGAAATTCTGGCACATGCTACAACACAGATAAACCTTGAGGACATTATGCTAAATGAAATAAGCCAGTCACAAAATGAAGAGTACTGTTTGATTCCACTTACACAAAGTATCTAAAATAGGCAAATTCATAGAAACAGAAAGCAGTATGGTGGTTACCAGGACTACAGGGAAGGAAAAAGGCTCGTTGGTTTCTCATTTGTTTTGTTGTTTTTTTAAAGATTTTATTTATTTATTTGACAGAGAGAGACAGCAAAAGAGGGAACACAAGCAAGGGGAGTGGGAGAGGGAGAAGCAGGCTTCCTGCAGACCAGGGAGCCTCATGCAGGGCTCGATCCCAGGACCCTGGAATCATGACCCGAGCTGAAGGCAGACGCATAAGGATTGAGTCAGCCAGGTGCCCCGTGGCAGTTAACACTTTAACCAAGTTATCAAACTTAGCATCACTATTAGATCACCTGTCATAAGGTGGTGCCCCCAGTATGATACAGGATGAACACACAACAGTACCTATGAATTACACTAGCCAGAAATGCTTACTCTGAATCTAATCCCTCCTCTACATCCAACTTCCATTTCATAGGAGATACAGGCGAATAGAGGAACAAGTTAAATGACACCACAGGGAAACAATCAGACACAATTCATAATGTGAGACAATCTACAAACAAGTGACCTAGATTAAGAGAGACTAAGGAGACAATAATTAAACATGTGAACCTTGGTTAGATCCTGTTTGAACAATACAAGAAGACATTTTTGGGACAACTGGGGAAACTGGAATACAAACTAGGTATTAGATGATTTTTAAAAATTATAATTAAATACATATTTCAAAAAACATCAATAAAAAGTGTTTAACCTCACTAATTATTAAAACAAAGTATGTTAAAATTTACCTATCAAATTGGTGACAATAAAAATTAATACAATTTTTGGGGGCAGGACAATCTGGTAACATGTAACAGAGGTTTTCAAAATATTTATATACTTTACCCAGCAATTCCACTTCTAGGTATTCATCCTATAGAAATAAGAGTTGTATATAAATATTTATTGACCAGAATGTTCACTGCAGCATTACTAATGAAAATGGGACAACCTAATTATCCAAGATGGAATAATAAATTATATAATACTTTCTAATCATTAAAAATCTTGAGATATTTAACATGAAAAGGTACTTAGAATACATTAAGTATTTGGAAGGTAATAGCTATTTTTTGTGTTCCCAGAGGGCTGAACTAGAAACTACCACTGGAAACTACAGGGAAGCAGTTCGGCTCAATGTAAGAAATCACTTTTCTAAGAATTAGAATTTTTTAAGCAATGAATGGCCTGCTTCATGATTTAATGAGTTTTGCATTATTAGAACTCTAAGCAAAGGCTGAATGGTCACCGGACAAAGATATACAGAAAAGATTTATATGTTAGGAGAGTAAAGAGAAGATCTTAATGACCTTTTCTATTCTAAGAATTTATTATTCCATATAAAGTTTTCCATGAGCTGGAATGTCAGGAAGAAGTTGTTCGTATTTCTTTCTGAATGCTATTAAGAGACTCATGTGGCATTAAACTAAAAAGAGATACTAGAATAATGAAGCTGAAGGATGATTCACATTATCATATTCTAGATCAGTAACATACACATTATTGACAAAGTGAAAGACGACTAACCTAATGGAAAGGATTCAAACGGAATTGGCAGCAACTCCATTTGAATCTACTAATTTTAATTTCTCTGTATCTAATAAAGAACTTGAATAATTATACTTTTCCAAGGTGACACAGCACTATACGTATCAAAAAGGACAGGAGGCACTATATGCTTCCTCTGTTTGCTTCTGGCAGCTCTTTACTTCATATATAAATAGAGAGCAATGAAATATGCCCCCCACTCTCCCTTTGCAAATGAGTATATAATCTTTAAACTCTGAATGCACGAATAGTGGGCAGCAGGAAGGAACACAAGAACATGGTATCATACTAGGTTCCTAGAAAGCAGAAGCAAGCAGTGGATGCCTGTGAAGTTTTTAGAATAACTGGTGATGTTCACAATTCTTAGACATCAAAAAGGAATCCCCTAAAAGATGCACTTTTTAAAAAAATAACTTTTTATTATGGTTATTTTTTCAAATACAAAGTAGAAAATAACAATGACCCCACACATAACTATTACTGAGCTTCATACACCAACATTTTGTTAAAGCTGTTTCCTCTATTTTTTCACAGTTTCGGTTTTTGGGTTTTTTTTTTTTTTTCCAAAATTTGAAAACCAATACCTGGCATCACACAATTTTACCTATAAAAACTTCAGTGTGAAAGGATACCCTTCTTGCAAATAATACCAAGTATTCAATACATGTTGGCGACCAGAGCTAGGTACTGTTCTATCATTACATTTGTACCTAAATTTTCATATATGTTAAGCCTCATTATTATACCCATTTTGCAAATGAGAAAACGGAGTTTTATTGGCTCAAGGTCACACAGCCAATAAGCAGTGGAGCTAGGATAAGTACCCAGAAGTTAACTCTAGACTAGACTTTACTTTCCCAACCACTAAAATATGCTGTCTACTCTATCTGCATTATCCTAGTTCTTCCTTGTGGGATATAAATTATTATGGTGTCGTGGGAGAAGGACTGCTGAATGGGAAAGAGACAGGAAAAGATGCTACAAACATGAGCAGCTGCTCACAGCTTTTCTTGTGAAATTTTCTTTTCTAAATGCCCCAAATGAGAAAGGAAAATGCGTCTGATCTCGGAAGCTAAGCAGGGTCGGGCCTGGTTAGTACCTGGATGGGAGAAAGGAAAATGTAATTGGATATCATCATTCCGAATTGCCTAGGACATAAAAGAAAGTCACTTCAGAGAGGGAAAAGCAATGTCCAAGTCTCTTCCACAGGGGTTAAACATACACAAAGTTCTTTTAATCTGCCCCTCCAATCACTGACCCAGGTGAAGGGGGTCCAAGCCCCTCTCCAAGGGAGAGGAGTGTCTCTAGTTCCACCAGACCTTTAAAATAGTTCAAACAAAGAGAGCTCACAGAGGGCTGAGCAATCAGTACAAGTAGTAGCGTTTGAATGCTTAATGAAATCTGTGACTAAAAAATAAAAGGACCTGGAATAAAAAATTCTTCTGGCCGATGTAGTTCTAAAACTATTAAATAATTAAAGATTTGTAAGGAAAGGGGCATCTTCTCTGAATCTTTTAGCCAAAAGTTCCCCTAAAACTCTTCCTGGTGATTTATGACAGATCTTCTAGTAACAGAATTATCTTCCCCATGGAGACTAGCTAGATCATCCCTCTTCCCCATCTTCTACTTTCCCCAAACACAAACAGAAGTGCTTCTTCCTTGCTCCTAGTGCACTTTATATATAATTCTATTAGAATTATATCTTTACTGATTAGAGATATTCTAATCAATATTGTGGTATAATTATCTTTTCCTTCTGTGAGCTATCAATTCCTAGAGAGCCAGGACCCTACTTCGGTCCTCTTTATATTTCCAATCCCTAATCTTCAAACCTAGCGCCACTGAAAGTGATTGAGAAAGGCTGGCTTAATGAACAAAGAAGCTGAAGATGACGGAATATGGAGCAATCTTTATGAGAAAGAATCCTTTTTATCAGTACCTCTCTGATCTCGGCACCTTCATTAGAGCCCACAAGTTCCCCTCCCTTTAGGAGTTTTCCCATCAGCTACTAGTCCAGAATGAATAATAACATAGACAATAATCTCTTGAGGGCTGGAGAAAGAATCCAGTCATTTTGGTTTCTAAGAGCTTTTAGTGAGCCAGGGAGAAGTCAGCTTGAAGAATTTGGAAGGTAGTCAAAACCTTTTAAGAGCTTTTATTCAAATGTCAAGATGCAAAATGGTATTTGAAATGCTTGCTTTTTACATTTAAATCCTGAAGGAAACAGGGAAAAGAAATAATTCTAAATAAAAAACTAGTGATTACTAAGCAGCCCCTGGTCATCCACTTCTATTTTTCCAACAAAAAATTCCCTATCCAAAAACTATGGGTCTGGTTACAACCCTCAACCATCGGGGAAGCACTCTTCAGGTACTGGTATGAGTCTCCTTAGATCCCCTCTAATACTGGTTAGCCAAACCACTTAGGATCTTACTTGGTTAGGCAATCCCTTCAAGTAAAAATCTGTGGGGGTAAGAAAGTTCTCTCTCTCATCAGTTTAAGAAAACTCAAAATAATCTCCCAGTTTAATTCATATTACACTGGAAAAAAGAAAAATCCCATCACATCTTTTACAGGCCATTCTACCATGTTACCTTGGTTAGTGTCCTTCGGGTGTGTTATATGAGCAATGACTTCCTTGAGATAACTTTCCTTCTGCTTTTCTAGATCTGACTGTGAAAACGTCGAAACATTAGTCCTTGAACAAAGCAAATCAGGAGGAAAAACAGTCCATTAGAACCATGAGTATAGTGCTTTGTAGAGAGAACTCATATATTGCTGATTAGTTAGAACAACTAACTTTCAGAGGCAAAATACTCTTTTAAGATCCAGTGACAGAAAACATTATTAGTCACCCAGTATAAAGCTGAAATCAAGTATGGAGATAAGGTAAAAAGGAAGATGAGAAACAGATACAAACTCCTGCTAACAAGGCGTAAGAAAGTGAAGATTACCTAGTCCCTAGAGAAAGAAAGCACTTGTTGAGTAATTCAAGGTTAATCAGGACATAGCTAACTTGACAGAGCCACAGAAAAACTTAATGAGATAAAGACTAAAAAGAACCAGCTGGATGTGGCAATTAGAACACTGGTGACCTTGGCAAGAACAATGTCTGGCCCTTGCTCATCCTTATTGCACTGATAACTGTGGAGTCAGTGGAAGAGACTATTGAGATAATAAGTACATAACTGTCCCAAGTAGCCTGACTTGGCTCCTTGGTATAATTTCCACTGTTAAGTAAGTCACAAAGTTTCCCTCAATTATGCAAACAAAACAAAACAAAAAACCAAAAAACTGGCATTATGGAGCATAGTCAAAGGGGACTTTAGCCTTATTTTTAATATATTTTTGAAAATTTAAAGCAGTGGGGTGTGTGGGAGGTTCAGTCAGTTAAGCATCTGCCTTTGGCTCAGGTCATGATCAAAGAGTCCTAGGATGGAGCCCTGCATTGGGCTCTCTTCTCAGCAGTGAATCTGCTTCTCCCTCTCCCTCTGCCTGTCACTCCCCCTTGCTTGTGCACTCTCTTCCTCTCTCTTTCTCTGTCGAATAAATATATAAAATCTTAAATAAAAATCTTTAAAAAAATAAAAAATTTTAAGCAGAAAGACTCAGCATCTGTGTAATCAAAAAAATTTTTTAAATCTCATTATAAGGAAGCCAATCTGATTCAACATAAAAAAACAGCTTTGTTAACTGAGAAGGCCCATGTAGAGACACTGCCATCTCCTGGCAACAAGAGAACAGACCAAAAAGATGACCCAAATCTACAATCTCCACTAGAATTTTTCCCCAAGGACAGTTGCATTCAAGTTGGGCGAGATAACAAAAGGATTTTCTACGTAATTGTATTTTAATTATCTGTGTTAAAATTAGGGGCTTCTGGGTGGCTCAGTGGGTTAAGCCTCTGCTTTTGGCTCAGGTCTTGATCTCAGGGTCCTGGGATCAAGCCCCACATTGGGCTCTCTGCTCAGCGGGGAACCTGCTTTCCCCCCCCCCCCCCCCCCCCGCCCCCGCCTTGCCTCTCTGCCTGCTTGTGATCTCTGTCAAATAAAAATAAATAAAATCTTTAAAAAAAAAAATTATTCTAACCTCCTGTCGTATCTATGACCAAGATTCCGGATGCACAGGAAAAGAAATCTTACATTTATACAGTGCTTTCACTAATAAGTCTCTTTTATTCCCAAAATAACTTTGTGAGGCAGCGGAGAAGGCATCCTTAGCCTCACTTGTTGACAAATAAACTGAAGTCACAGGTCATGTGACTTGCCCAAGGTCACACTTAACGCTACGCGTTAGCTGTCCCAGCACTTAAAAGTATGCTTATACCTGGTACATGGTTTTATTCTACACTAAGGGAGAACTGAGGTGGGAAAGAAAGAAACTGAACAGAACCAATAGAAATCAGAATATTATCATACTGTTACCTTCTTTTGTTTTGCAGAACAGGAATGACTTTGCCTAGTCTTCTCTCACTGACTTTCAGCCTCCCCGAATCCTTGTCAAGAACATCCTGCTTTCGTTCAGAGCAGAAGGAAAGATAATTATAAGGAAAAAGCTGAAAACACTATTTATGGACATATTCTTAATAAAGGCTACAGAAGCATATTTCTGAACCCTATGTACCAGGCACAATGACAGATACTTTAAATGAGATAGTGATTGTAATTTTAAGGAAAAGAAAGAAACCCTAAGTGGTATGCCCATTTGATAAACAGGGAATCAGGCTCAAAGAGGTTAGGTAAATTGCCTAAGCTTTTTCAGCTCTTCAGGAGCTAATCAGGTGCTGTGCCTCATTTTAGTATGGCACCAGAGATTGAGAATTAAGCTGAAACCCAAAGAAAGGGGAAATAATAGTAAAATCATCATTACCTTAGTAATTATTCAGTAAGTAATAATTTAATATTATATGCCAATTACTATAAATATATTATTTCATTAATCCTTACTATACTGTGAAGTATTATTTAGTATAATATATGGGTAAGAAATACAAGGAACAGAGAGGCTAAACACTTTTCCCAAGGTCACAGTTCCAGTCAGGATTCAAATCCCAATTTGTTTGATGAATACAAAGTTCTGCTATACAGCTTTAAGTGAAAATAATTTTTCTATCTACCTTGAAAAAATATACTTACTTTGTTTGATGAACTGGAAACAACCGGAAACCTCACTTCGCAATTTGATTTATGTGATCCATTTTTCCAGGATGACCCCATATTAGGAGTCTCTGAATGGTCCACGATCTGAGAGAATACAGGTGTAGGTCTCTTACTCTCAAGTATATTTTTATCAGACATAGTTTGTTCAAAGTCACTGTCTGAAGGAGAAGAGAGTGGGGGCACATCCCAAGCAGAATTACTGGGATCAATCCCTTCAGACTCAGTGCAGAGTTTGCTCTCATTTGGGCTAAGACCATCTTTTCTCATCTCTTCCCCAAGGGAGGAAGGTTTTTCAGTATCTTTGAATGAATCAGTCTTGTCCTTATCAAGCACAGCATCACAAACTGTTGGATCAAATGGTGTAACAACTGTTATTTTTATAAGATTCTTTTCTAGTGCAAAGTGTCTGTTTAATGGTTTAGCAGGAGTTGGTCCATGACCAACTGATGTACTTAGCTGAGGTAGTTTTAAGAGGCCGGAGGTCTCAGCTACTGGTCCCAAGCTGTACAATGAATTTTTCTCTTGGGAAGAGTCAAATAGAATTTGACTCCCTTTCTCTCCTTTCTCAACACGCCTGCTATCATCTTTAAGGTCGTCATCCTTCAAGAGCTCTTGAATATCTTCCTCTGTGAAACTGAAATGGCCATCATCTTCTTCTCCCTCAGACAGATCCAGCAAGGAGTCATCCAACCCATCCTCATCCAAGGAACCCCAAGAAAATGGGGCATTGTCTTTAGGCAAGAGAGAAGTTCCAGAAGACTGTTCAGAGGACATTAGTGAGCACGTCATATCTGGAAAAATAAGAGGCAGTCTCACTAAGGAACACGAATTATCCCTATATCTGTTCTACAGTGGTGGTGTCCCTATATTTCAAATTCTTTGCATTGTGACTTGTAACATGAGAAATAATTTTAAGATATTTAACCTTACGAGAATCATGGAAATACACATTAGAACAGTGACAGACTTTTCTTCCTAACAAAATAGTGAAAATTAAGATGCCATAATATGTAAGTTGATAAGGATGTAGGAAACAAGCATCCTCAAACACTATCAGTATCAAAGAGTGTTAAGTCAGCACAGTATTTTGTGGAGAGTAATCTGCAATACCATTTGACCCCACAATTTCAATTCTGTGAATTCTTCCTGCAGCAGTACCTATACAAATGCACATAGATACATTTATAAGGATGTTCAAAGCAACATTATTTAAAATAGCCAAATATTAGAGACAACCTAAATGTCCATCACCAGAACTGCTCAGTGAAATCATGGTACATTCATACTATGGAATACTTTAAAACTATTTAAAAACATAATGAAGTAGAGCAGTATATACTATCATGGAATGATATCCACAACATACAAATAAAACAAATATATATTATGTAAAAGGTTTGGATTCTTATATAGTTTAGAAAAAAACAAATGTACAACTTCTGAAATTAAAAAAAAAAAACACAAAACTTTAAGAATATAAGAATTGTCTTCCATACTGTGTGGAGCTGCTGGTGTGATCTCTGCCACGAGACCAAATGGGAAAAGGTTTCAGCTCCTGCTAGCTGTTCCTTTCAGGAGACTTGTCAAAATGATTGACTCCCACCTTCCTGCAGGCACAAAGAAAATTAGAGGATCTTCTCATCACTTTCAACTCTGCTAATTACAAAGTCAACTGTATTATGCTTTAAGGTGCTCCACCTATTAATTTTGATCTTGATTTTTTTAAATACCAGAAAGTTGGATTTTGAGTCAAGAACATCAAAAAAATCTTTAGAGGAAAAATTATGCAACTAAGGAACTAGTTTTGTTCCTCCCAACAATTTTGTACTTTCTTAAGAATATCATTTGCTCCAGCAAAATGAATACTGGCTTGGAGTACTGAGATCTTGCTTGTAGTCCTGGTTCTGTCACTAACCAGCTGTGATAATTTACATAAGCCACTTAACCATTTGGACTTGTTTCCTCATTTATAAAATGGGGACCAGGCTATGTCTAAGATTCCACCAAGACCTACAAGTTAATCATGATCAAACATACTGAAGTCTCATTTTCAATTTATATATAAATGCAAAGAACAGAAAAATATAAACAGAACTGATGATTGTTAAAACCTATGAGGGAACTGAGAGAGGTCAAGAGGAGACTTCAGTGTCATTCTACTTGAGTACCTGTATATTATTTATACAATTAAAACCTAGCTTTTAAACAGTGATGGACCTAAATTATTTTCTAGATGGGAAGGTGATTAAAACCTTATATTTCACATTATCATGTCAACATCTGAGAAGCTGTAAGAAATGCCAAAACACTAAACTCAATAAATTTGGAAAGTGCCTTCTAGGACTTTCCCACCCCGCTTTCCCTCCACATCCTGAATTCTAGCTTTAGTTCATGCATTCTTTCAGAAAACATTTTCTGAGCACTGAGCAAGATAACATGTTTCTTTGTGGCTTCTTAAAAAATAAAGATACAGGGCATCTGGGTGGCTCAGTTGGTTAAGCAACTGCCTTTGGTTCAGGTCATAATCCCAGAGTCCTGGGATCCAGTCCCATATCGGGCAACTCCACAGGGAGTTTTCTTCTCCCTCTGACCTTCTCCCCTCTCATGATCTCACTATCTCTCTCAAATAAATAAAATCTTTAAAAATAAAATAAAAAATAAAGATACATTTTCCATCCTTAAAGAACATATAATCTGGGTACCTGGGTGGCTCAGTCAGTTAAGTGTCCAACTCTTGATCTGGGCTCAAGTCTTGATCTCACGGTTGTGAGTTCGAGCCCCACATTGGGCTCCAAGCCCAGTGTGGAGCCTACTTAAAAAAGTATAATCCTCCTAGGGCAATAAATTGAAAGTTATGCACCAATATGAGAAAATATAAAATGGTATAAACAATAAAGTTCTAGAGAAAGGAGGAGAGGATTACAGAACTTTAGAGTCAGAAAGGATTTACATAATGTACAACATGGTGACTATAGTTAACAATACTGTATTTTATATTTGAAAGTTGCTAAGAGTAGGTTTTAAAAGTTCTCATTACAAGGAAAAAAACTATGTGAGGGCGCCTGGGTGGCTCAGTGGGTTAAGCCTCTCCCTTTGGCTCAGGTCATGATCTCAGGGTCCTGGGATCGAGTCCCACATCCGGCTCTCTGCTCAGCAGGGAGCCTGCTTCCTCTTCTCTCTCTCTCTCTCTCTCTGCCTCTCTGCCTACTCTCTGTGATCTGTCAAATAAATAAATAAAATCTTAAAAAAAAAAAACAACTATGTGAGGGGATATATGTTAACTATTCTTACTGTGGTAATCATTTAGTAATATGTACATTTATCATTACACTGTATGCTTTAAACTAATATACTGTATCAATTATATCTCAATAAAACTGGAGGGGAAAGAAATAAAATTTTTTTTAAAAAGAAGAAACTTAGTTAAATTTACTCATCTTATGAGATGGGCCAGCAAGAAATATAAAGTACCAATAATAAACCAGGCACTGTGAAACACATTTTAAAACTTTTTTTCTTTTTTAGATTTTACTTATTTGACAGATCACAAGTAAGCAGAGAGGCGGGGAGAGGGAGAGGGGGAAGCAGGCTCCCCACCAAGCAGAGAGCCCAATGCGGGGCTGGATCCCAGGACCCTGAGATCATGACCTGAGCTGAAGGCAGAGGCTCAACCCACTGAGCCACCCAGGTGCGCCCATTTTAAAACCTTTTTTCTTTTTTAATAGATTTTATTTATTTATTTTTGAGAGAAAGAAACAGAGAGAGCATGAGAGGGGAGAAAGTCAGGGTTCTAAGCAGACTCCACATGGAGCTGGGAGCTTGATGAGAGACTCCATCTAGGGACTCCGAGATCATGACCTGAGCCGAAGGCAGCTGCTTAACCAACTGAGCCATCCAAGCCCCCCTTCTTCATTTTAAAACTTCTAATTTAACTCCTCAACATAACATAGACCTTGCCAAATAAACTAAGCTTTCTTTTTTATTTAAACTTAGGGCTGCTAAGACTTTTTATGTTATTTTACCAATATTCCAGCATTGTTAAGAGAGTTCCAGGCACTGCAGGCACTGAAGCAGGTGCCTCTACGAAGAGAAAAATAGTTTTCTTTGCCCAGTGACTAGGTTATTTTCTAGTATTTCTTTAGGCTGCAGTAAGAAAAAGTCTAAAGTTTATAGGTGCCAAGCACAAGTATCACAGGCACTGATGTTAAGCAGCTCTATTTCTGAGAAGCCCTTTCTGAGCCACTAACTCCACTCTCACTCAAACTCCTTCCAAAAGGAAGGTCTAGTTCAAGCAGCTGGCATGACCAAATGAAGAGTTCAATAAATCTTCATTCTTAAAAACTATAGTTAGAGGCATCAAGTAACTCAACCAAGCACACAGACCTATTAAAGCTAGAACGAGGATCCAAACACAGTTCTAATTCCAGAAGTAAAGTCTTCTCTGTTACCCTTCTCACAGATATGCCCTGGGTGGGTCAACAAACAGCAGAGCCTCTTAATTTCAGTACACTCTCTAATATACTATGAAAAATAAAGACACTGAAGAGGACATTTGATCCCCCTTGGCAAAAATAACTTAAGCCATTTTATTACACACAGGCTTCCCTTGACTTCCCAAGTAGAATAGAAGATGAGACATATCCCTGAATGTGGCCAAATCTCACTGGAAGAAAAACATCCTTACTTGCAAACTTGATTGTGCATGCATAGGACCAATATCCTTCACAACAACTGAAAGCATCCATCTCTATACCACATGACATCCAGAGGCACAGAGCTCTTCTGAGTTTCTTTCAGAGAATGTTCCAACGTTTGGGAGCAAAAGCATGCAAAACAATAGTGTGTGTATACACACACGCGCGCGGGCACATGCACGCACATATAGAACTTTTAATTTACCCAAGTCATTCTCTCCACAATTTTATTTCCTCCTTTTAAAAAGGTTTTTATTACACATAACTTACAACATACACAAATGTAACAACAGTATAACAAAACCCCATATACCCATCACAACGCCAACAACTATCAACCCATAGCAAATCTTATCCCATCCACTCCCTAACTTCATCAGATTACCTTGGTTTGTTTGTTTTGTTTTTAAAGATTTTATTTATTTGTTTTGAGAGAGAGAGAGAGAGAGCAAGAGCACACACACAAGCAGGGGGAATAGCAGAGGGAGAGGGAGAAGCAGGCTTCCCGCTGAGCCAGGAGCCTCATGTGGGCCTAGATCCTAGGACCCTGAGCCACAGGCAGCTGCTTAACCAACTGAGCCACCCAGGTGCCCCTTTATGGGATTATTTTGAAGCAAATCCCAGGCATCACATCATTTCATCTATAAATAAAAAGGATTCCTTACTGTAAAATACATGGTTCAGGCACCCAATTATTTTATAAATGTCTTATTTTTAAAGATAAAAAAAAAAAATCAGGGGGCACCTGGGTGGCTCAGTAGTTAAGCGTCTGCCTTTGGCTCTGGTCATGATCCGAGGGTCCTGGGATCGAGCCCCACATCGGGCTCCCTGCTCAAAGGGAAGCCTGATTCTCCCTCTCCTGCTCTCCCTGCTTGTGTTCCCTTTCTTGCTGTTTCTCTATCAAATAAATAAAAGATTTAAAAAAAAAAATGGGGCACCTGGGTGGCTCAGTGGGTTAAAGCCTCCGCCTTAGGCTCAGGTCATGATCCCAGGGTCTTGGGATAGAGCCCCTCATCTGGCACTCTGCTCCATGGAGTGCCTGCTTCCTCCTCTCTCTCTCTGCCTACCTGTGATCTCTGTCAAATAAATAAATAAAATCTTAAAAAAAAAAAAAAATCAGTATCCAGGGCGCCAGGGTGGGTCAGTCATTAAGTGTCTACTTTCGGCTCAGGTCATGAACCCAGAGTCCTGGGATCAAGTCCCACACTGGGCTCCCTGCGTGACAGGAAGCCTGTTTCTGCCTCTCTCATTTCCCTGCTTGTGTTCCCTCTCTCGATGTCTCTCTCTGGCAAATAAATAAATAAAATCTTAAAAAAAAAAAAAATCAGTATCCAAATTAAGTCCACACACTGCAACTGGCTGATATGTTTTGTATATTTTAATCTACGGATTCCCCCATCTTTTTTTTCCCTTGCAATCTGTTAGAGAAATAATACCATATAGTGTATGGATACATATATATATCATTAAATTATAAAAACATGCATGGGAATAAGCAGCACAAAATTCAGGACAATGATTACCTCTGGGGGTAGAGAGGGAAGAGAAATGGCAAGGGGGTATGAATATCTTCAATTCTATCTGTAATGTCTTATTTCTTTAAAAAATTAACAAAAAAAAACCTATAAAAAATATGGCAAGGGGTGCCTTTGAGCCCCACATCGGGAGCGTAGAAATTACTTTAAAATATATATATGGGGGCACCTGGGTGGCGCAGTGGGTTAAGCCTCTGCCTTCGGCTCAAGTCATGATCTCAGGGTCCTGGGATCAGGCTCTCTGCTCAGCAGGGAGCCTGCCTCTCTGCCTACTTGTTATCTGTCAAATAAATAAATAAAATCTTAAAAAAAAAATCAAATATATATATGCCAGAGGCCTGGGTGGCTCAGTTGGTTAAGCAACCAACTCTTGATAGCAGCTCAGGTCTTGATCTCAGGGTTGTTGAGTTCAGGCCCTGTGCAGGGGCTTAAAAAAATTTAAAAAAAAAAAAAAAAAAAAAAAAAAAAAGGGAGCCAGGGACACCATTTTAGAAAGATTAGAAAGATTTTAGAAAGATTCCATTTCTGCTGTTCTAGTGCTAAGTCCTGTTTCAAGGTCTACATTTTGCATCTGAATAAAACAAAGAAGCTACGTTGCCACTCCAAACGGAGACAAGAAAGTTAATCATTCTCTAAGTTCCATCCTAGGCCCCAAACACCTGGTAACATCTAAAAAGAACCGATCCCAAACAGATTCACAGACATCAGCTTCAAACAAACCTTGCCTGACACTGGCATCAATACCCCCTACCTTCAGTGATTTATGGAATAACACCTACTATTCACCTGAAACTAACCTTTGATTGGAGGCTTCCTTGGGTTCCTGAAGGAACATTAACCCTGGACCCTTTCCAATATAAAACCATAACCCCAAGTGACAGAGTAACTTACTTTTCATTTTTGGAGTCTCCCAGACACTCTGCTATCCTCTATCACTTACTATTCAATGAACTCTGTTCTCACTTCCTCCTGGCTCCCATATGATTCTTATTCTGAACAAAGCAAAGGACCGTAGTCAACTGGTATTAGAGGGACCCCCCCCACCCAGTGCTCTTAATTCAGCCTGCCTACATTGATAAATTAAAGCTGAATGATGTGTGTAATAGTAGCATTATGTTATTTCCTATAAACCTTATATGCTTAAAATATTTAATAAAAATTTTAAATTAATAAGTCAGTAGAGAAATATAATGATTATATTCTGTAGTTTCAAATGTCCTCTCCTACACAACAGGGACCATCACAGTAGCTATCTCATAGTGTTGTTGCCATAATTAAACGAGACCATGAACACAAAGCACTGTGAGTACTACAAGCACAATGGAAAAGCTCAGGAAGTAGGGGCTATAGTTTCTATTTCTTCCCACTATCATCAACTCCTTGACCCCTGAGGAGTCTCAAGGAAGCACAGGCATGGTAAGAAAGAATGCTAATCTAATTGAGAATTTTCCCTAGGTCCTTGCTTGTTAAGAAATTATCTGGTATACTCTAATCTCTTCTAGTTCAACCATATTGCCATTGAATTAATTAAAGACCAGGCTGTGTGGACATTTGAAGTATCAGGCAAATCCTTCGAATTAACGTGTCCTGTATAGAGGGACTGAACTAAAATTCAGAGACCTCGGGGCGCCTGGGTGGCTTAGTGGGTTGAAGCCTCTACCTTCAGCTCGGGTCCTGGGGTCCTGATTCCAGGGTCCTGGGATCAAGACCCACATCGGGCTCCAGCGGACTCTCTGCTTAGCGGGGAGCCTGCTTCCTCCTCTCTCTCTGCCTACTTGTGATCTCTGTCAAATAAATAAATAAAATCTTTAAAAAAATAAATAAATAAAATAAAATTCAGAGACCGCACAAGTCACTTGAAGTCTCTGAACCACAATTCAGATGAGAACAGTCATCTGAAAAATGGAGGATACAATTATACGCTGTTAACTTCAAACACAGATCATCATGAGGATCAAATGAAGTGATGTTTATGAAAGCACTCTACACCTAAAGGCCCTATGCTAATTAAAGTTGATATACAATGAATTTGCAAGAGGGGGAAATCTCAGATAACATTAAGATCTAAAGTGAATTTCCACAAGACAGCCTTAGCACTTCTCTGTCTGCCATTCTACCATTAACTGCCTTTCTTGGCACTTGCTTAGTAACTTCCACCTAAAATAAGGATCTCTTTATTTTTAAGGGAAGAATATTTTCTCCATCTCCTAAGTCTATCTCTTAATTCCTCTGCTCCCCATCCCTCCTGTGACCCTATTCTGTCCTTCCACATCTCTCTCACCTGTCCACCCCCTTCTTCACACTTCAGTTTACCACCCCCATGCTCTGTTCTCTAACCACCTAGCTGCAACCTCAGAAACTGGTTCCCTTGCTATTTTTATCCTACCTAAGAAAACCTATTGCCTTAGAGCACAAAGCCTTAAAATTGCAACACCAGACACAACTCCATATCCCTCCTTCAAGGTTCTTAACCCAAGACCATTACCAAGCTAGATCTGATAGGTATGACCAAGGACAAGCTAGATCTGATAAGTATGGTCAAGGGCAAAGATTATTTCCAAAGGACAGGCCTTTGATTTCCAACTTTCCCCACAGGCAATACCAGAACAGCACAAAAGGCACTCCCTAGGCTTTATCACTCCATAAAACGAGCATAACATTCAAAATAATCAAAGTGAACTGAAATTATCTGTAAGAATTCTGCAACTTCCTCTGAAGCAAATTAAAATACTATAGGACAGAAAAACAACCTAGGGCTGGAAATCTCTGCTTTAGGTTAACATTTCACTAGATATGGAGTCCAAGATTCTCATCCCACAGGGGCATTGAAACTAAATTATTACTAAGCTACAGCAACAGGTTTCTTTTTAAAAAGAAAATGTTTTTTAGATAATTTATACATGATAGCTAAAGCTTGCGACCTCTAACAAATTCACAAGAAACTGGAGATCAGCCGATCGGCAATTCAATCATTTCTTTCCCTTCTCCGGGGCCCACCCTGGAGTGTCAGCTGCCTTCCCTCCCGCCCTGGACGAAACCGGTGGCAGCTCCCGTCCCGAGAGCCAAGAGGAAGGGTAACCCAAGTCCACCCTTCGTAGGATACTGCTTGGGCTGCCCCCTGCTCTCTCCCCCAGAAACGCGACAGCCTCAGCACGGTATTGGCATCGGGGCTGGGCCTTCGCACTTCCCTCCTCCCTCCCCCGAAAACACCGAGAATTCCCGCCTCCCCGCGGAGGCGGGAGAAGCACGGGGTAGCTCCCCGCCCCTCCCCCCGCAGGCGCCAAACCGACCCCTCCGCAGGCCTGCGCGGTGCACCGCTCACCCGAGGGTAGCCACCTACACCCACGCCCACACCTCGGTGGGACCGAGGCCCTGTCAGCCCAAGGGGTGGGCCATCCTCTCCCTCCCCCACCCGCTAGGCGCGGCGGGAAGATCTTCTCCCTAGCAACAACCCCCCCCCCCCAGTGGGGCAGGGGCAGCGGCACTCCCAAACCACCTAACACACCCATCCCCCCCTACCCCCACTGGGCAGGGAGACTGACAACGCTGCCCCCCTCACAGGTGACCCGACGGTCTCCCTCTTCCACAGCAGAGTGAGAGACATCTACCTCCTCAGACGTGGAGGTGGGGCGCAGGGACACTCCCCCTCCCGCCGCCATCACCTCAGGAACGACAACCAGCCCTCTCCCAGCAGGGTGAAGCCTTCCCAGCCCTTCAACGGGGTGGACCGGCATGTAGAGCCCCCTGGAGAAGCAACAGGCGCCCACATCCCCCTCCCAGCCGGGAACGCAGACCCCCTCATCCCTCCCGCTCTTCACCTCCGGAAGCGGGGCCGAAGCCTGAGCGAACGACTGCGCCTCACTCCGCCCCCTGCGCCATTTTATCGCCCCCTCCCCGACCTCCCCCACCCGAGGCTGCGGGGCCAGCGCAAGTGGGAGGGCAAATGGGCAGTGATTGGCAGGAAACCGCCCCGCCCCTCAGGGGGTGTGCCCCGCGCAGGCGCCGCAACTCCGCCCTCCGTACCTCCTTGCCGGCCTGCTGGCTCCGCCCCTTTCTCGTCTCATCGACCAGCTCGACTCTCAGTTGGTCCTGGCTCCTTCCTGTCCGCTCTTAGGCTAAGGGTTCAGGCCGAGGAAGCCGAGCGACGAGCTCAGCTGATGCAACCTAACTGGGCCCGCGTGACAGTTCCCGGCACGCGGCGGCGGCGGCGACCGAGGAAGCGGCGCGGTGCTGGGCTGAGCGCGGGACATAGGGGCGACGGAGCCATGGGGGACGCTCCGAGCCCTGAAGAGAAGCTGCACCTTATCACCCGGAACCTGCAGGTCGGGCCTCAGGGTTGGAAATGCGCTCTTGGGGACTGGGGGCTCGAGGTCCAGTGACCCTGAGCTTCACTACTGGATCCTAAGTGTGTGAGGTCGGGGACTCCGCGCCGAGGCAGCTCAGAGAGACTACAGCCCTCGCTGCTGGTTGGTCGATCGGCCAGTCACTCAGACAAGCAGCAGTTATCTGGGTCGCACAGAAATGACAGTGGGCTCACCTCCTGTGTGCAGTTACCTTGCGTTGAGTCCAGCTTTGAATCCAGGACTGCCACCCCACCCACCCTATTATGTGCCAGGCGCGGTGCTAGGCACTGGGGATACGTCAGAGCCTTGCCCTCCCGGGGCTTGTCTGGAGAATCAGACGTTCAGGATGACCCGTAATTCAAAAACTTAGTTACAGTTTGAAACAAGTGCTGTAAAGTATATCTTTGGAGCTTTGGAAGGGAATTAGGGAAGAGGGCCGGGGGAGTGTCAGGGAATGCTGAGGATGTGAACTCTAAATTGCGCCTTGATGATGCAGATCACTTGGCTCCACATCTGTGCGAGCTGTTTCCAGGAACTGCAGGAGTAAAAGTTAACCAGAAGAATAATGAATTGGGGAGCATTTTAGGTATAAGGAAGCCAAGGCAATACGCAGAGGGGAGAAAGAACACTGGTTCAGAGGGAAGGCAGATTTGGCTGGAGTATTGTGAGCAAAGTGGAGATCACTTAATAAATATATATTGCCCATTTCCTTGCCTCCTTCAGGCCTCTGACTATTGTCACATTATGGGGAAAGCCTTTCCTGACCACTTTATTTAAATAACAAACCCCCTGCTACCAGAATTGTCTCATCCCTTGTTCTAGCCTTTTTCATTGTTGTTTCTCCATAGAACTTATCACTATCTAACATACTATGTATTTTACTTGTTTGTTGAGAAGGATTAGGCAAGTACCAGGTCATGAGGGCCTTGCAGGCTATGTTTAAAAGTGAAGTTTATTCTAAGAGCAGTGATACATTGGTTGGACCACAGCTTGGGGTTTTTTTGTTTTTGTTTTTGTTTTTTTTGAGATATAATTCACATGCCAAAAAAATCATCCTTTTAAAGTGTACATTTTGGTGGGTTTTAGTATAGCCCCGAGATTGTATACTTAGCATCACTTTCTGATTCCACATTTTCATCACCAAAATAAAACCTGTACCCATTGGCAGTCACTGCCCATTTCCCCACTCCTGGCAGCCCTGGGGAAACACTAATCTACTTGCTGTCTTTAATTTGCATACTCTGGGCATTTCATGTAAGCGGAAGCATGTAATATGTGGCTTTTTATGTCTCGTTTCTTTCATTTAGCATGTTTTTAGGGTTTATCCATGTCGTCACACCCATCAGAACTTTATTCCTTATTATGGCTGAAAAATATTCATGATTATATGGATATATCACATTTTGTTTCTCTTTCCATCAGTTGGTGGACATTTGGGTTCTTTCCACTCATAACTTGATCTTAACCAGTAATTTTTGCATGCTTTCTCTTAGATTCTTTGTCCTTCCCTTTCCACAAAATAATGCTGTTTGGGGACAAAGGATACACAAAGCTAATGGCACTGACTCACTTAGGTTTTAAAGGATAAATGATAGGACCTTTCCTTGGGTGGCAAGAATTCTCCCAAGTTCCAAATAATCAGGGGCTAGGAGGGTACGGGATCCAGCTGCCAGCTCCCTTGAAACATAGGATTTTAATAAGTCCTGCTAATAGGTGATTCAAACCAGCAAAACAGTTTTTGTCTTTCATGGCTTCTGACTGCCTTCCCAAACCATTACTTGAAAGAATCACTAAAATCTCTTTTGTTACCAGCATACTGATCTGTTAGGATTTTTCTAATATTGTCTTAAGGCAAAATAAACCATTAAAGTATTAAATAGGTGAATGAGTCAATCAAGTTTTGTGTTTTAGAGATCTCTCTGGCTGCCTTCTGGAACACGGATTGGAGGGAGCAAGAATAGATACGGGAGTCCTGCTAGAAGGCTATTACAGTAGTCTTGGTGTGATTGATGGTGGCCTAGGCTAGTGTGGTGGTATGGAGGCAGAGAGAAGGAAGAGGATTTAGGAGCTTTGGGGTAACTTGGGCAACTTGGTGAATGATAGTACCATTCACTGCACTGGAGTGAAACTATGAGTGAAAAAGATGGGTGGGGAGCAAGGTAGGAAGGTGAGAGCACAAGGTTAATTTTGGACATGTTGAGTTTGAGTTTATTGGGTTGATAACAAGTACACTGTTCCATATATGGGTGTGAGCAGTAGATTTGGTAGTTAATTAGCTTATTAGTAAGTGAAGCATCTTAAATGGGATTAGCTAGGGAGCATGTAGAGTAAGAAGAGAAGAGATAGGGCTGCAAAGATTGCTAATATTTAATGATTAGCAAGAAGAACAGCTGTAGAGAAATCTGAGCCAGCAGCCAGAGAAGTAGGAGGAAAACTAAGAAAATAGAAAAGTGAAGGACCAAAAGAGGGGAGTGTTTCAGGAATGGAGTGAGGACTAAAAAATTTTCGTTGAATTTAGTAACAATGGGGGTCATCCATGATCTTAGCTAGAGCATTTTCAGTGGTGTGATGCTTCATGGAATTCAGCTGGAATGGGAGATGAGAAATAAAGACCAGAAGAGACAAATGTTTTAAGAAGTTGGCTCTAATATGAGTTAGAGTAGATAGATGGAGGAGAAGGTGCGAGTAGGGACATGTCCCATTCCTTAACAGCAGTGGCATTTCACTGGAGTGGTGCTAGCAACGGCACCAGCTTAGGTTGGCTCTCATTCAGCACTGCAAGCACGGCTGGACCTCCCTGCTGGCTCTGGGCCTAGACCCTCAGTGACACGTGCTTTTGTTTTCCTTGTCACAGGGTAAAGGATGAGCAAGGTGGGGCACCAGCATTAAACCAGCTCTTCTGCTTCCACAACAGGAGGTTCTGGGAGAAGAGAAGCTGAAGGAGATACTCAAGGAGCGGGAACTTAAAGTTTACTGGGGAACAGCAACCACAGGCAAGCCACATGTGGCTTACTTCGTGCCTATGTCTAAGATTGCGGACTTCCTAAAAGCAGGATGCGAGGTAAGAAGTAATATTTTGTAAACCAAGCAGTTCCTTGGGGAATGGCCCAAAAAGAGGTTTAATAAGGCAGGGCAGAGAGGGGGATTTGGAGGTACTTGGACAAAATACACATTTTGGTGGCCCCTTATCTGTAATCCAGGTAACGATTCTGTTTGCGGACCTTCACGCATACCTGGATAACATGAAAGCTCCATGGGAACTTCTAGAACTCCGAACCAGCTACTATGAGAATGTGATCAAGGCAATGCTGGAGAGCATTGGTGTACCCTTGGAAAAGCTCAAGTTCGTCAAAGGCACTGATTACCAGCTCAGCAAGTAAGTTCTAGATCATCCAACCTCCTTGTGGCTCTCATGCTCCTAGCTAATTACAGGTCTGTGGAGTGTAGGCACTCTTCAAGTTTGGATTAGAAGCCATTAAAAAATTTATACTCTTTGTCCTTTCAAGTCATCCATCAAAAATGTACTTAATACCTCTGTGCTGTCCACTTTGCTGGAGGTGTGACTGTAACCAAAACAGAGTCCTTGGCCTTGCAGAGCTCCCAGCATACGGGAGAATGATGATCAGCAATTCAGGCTCCCTTTTTCCTTCCAGCCTCAGCAAATCATGATTAGAGAAAGGTGAAAGAAAAGTATTTCACTTGTTTCTCACCTCCCCGACAATTTTTTTTAAAGATTTTCTTTCTTGAGGGCCTGGGTGGCTCAGTGGGTTAAGCCTCTGCCTCCGGCTCAGGTCATGATCTCAGGATCCTGGGATCGAGCTCTGCATCAGGCTCTCTGCTCAGCAGGAAACCTGCTTCTCCCCACCTCTCTCTCTGCCTGCCTTTCTGTGTACTTGTGATCACTGTTTGTCAAATTAATAAATAAAATCTTTTAAAAAAAAGGTTTTTTTTAAGGATTTTTATTTATTAATTTGACACAGAGAGAGAGAGATATCACAAGTAGGCAGAGAGAGAGGGGGAAAGCAGGCTCCCTGCTGAGGAGAGAGCCCAATGTGGGGCTCGATCCCAGGACCCCAAGATCATAACCTGAGCCGAAAGCAGAGGCTTAACCCACTGAGCCACCCAGGTACCCCATATTTTATTTTTTTGACAGGGAGCAGCAGGTAGGGGAAGAGGGAGAAGCAGGTCCCCCACTGAGCAAGGAGCCCAGTGTGGGGCTTGTCCCAGGACCCTGGGATCATGACCTGAGCTAAAGGCAGACACCCAACTGACTGAGCCACCTAGGCATCCCCTCCCCAACAATTTTTATTGCTTCATATCTTTATCAATTTTAAACATATTTGTAATATTAGCATAGATATGATTTTGTGTTCTAATTTTTTTTTTTAAGATTTTATTTATTTATTTGACCGAGAGAGAGACATCGAGAGAGGGAACACAAGCAGGGGGATTGGGAGAGGGAGAAGCAGGCTTCCTGCTGAGCAGGGAGCCCAATGTGGGTCTCATTCCCAGGACCCAAGGACCACAACCTGAGCCGAAGGCAGACGCCCAATGACTGAGCCACCCAGGTGCCTCTAATTTTTTTTTAACTTCCGTTATTTCCTAAGTACTTCCTCCATGCTGCCTCATGATTTTTAAAACCTCAGTTAAGCCGTGTATCACTCTACTGGTCTACACCCTCAGAACAACTTTTTAAGGTAAGCTTTGGTGTGTCCTGTTTCACAGATAAGGAAACAGATTCCTTTCTCAAGTTCACACTTGCTGTAAGTACAAGAGCCAGGATGTGAACCCAGATCACTTGCTTACAAGTTCATTTCTCTTTTTACTTCATTGATCATAATTTTCTCTTTTTTTAAAGATTTTATTTATTTATTTGAGAGAGAGAGCACACACATGTGAGTTGGGGGAGGGGCAAAGGGAGAGAGAGGGACTAGCAGACTCCACGTTGAGAGTAGAGCCCAACTCAGAATCCATCCCACGACCCCAAGATCATGACCTGAGCCAATACCTAGAGTTGGACACTTAACTGACTGGGCCAGCCAAGCACCACAGTTGTAATTTTCTTTAGCATTCCTCACTGTTGAACATTTAAGAGTTTTTTTGTGTGTGTTTTTTTTTTTAAGATTTTATTTATTTATTTGACAGACAGAGATCACAAGTAGGCAGAGAGGCAGGCAGAGGGGGGAAGCAGGCTCCCTGCCAAGCAGAGAGCCCGATGTGGGGCTCGATCCCAGGACCCTGGGATCATGACCTGAGCCGAAAGCAGAGGCTTTAACCCACTGAGCCACCCAGTCGCCCCACATTTAAGAGTTTTAAATAAAGCACATAACTTTCTTATGTAAACAAACATTTGAATCGTCAGCCTCAGTAGAGTGCCTACCATTTCATTTATTTTTACGTTCTACAGATATTTACAGAGCACTTATTAGATGATAACCACTGTTGTGGGTCCTGAGTATTCAAAAATTCCCATCCTCGTGGGGCTTACATTTCAGCAAGGAAATACAGTCAAAGGAAACAAATGAAAAAGTAATGTGTATGAACTGTGTCAGATGGTGATAGGTGCTACAAAGCAGGCAGGCAGGAGAGAGAGTTCTTGGGGAGCGGGGGTTTCTATTTAAATAGGGTGGCTAGGAAAAACCTCTGATAAGAAGACTTAGATTGAGACCTGAAGAAGGTGAGGGAGTGAGTCAGGCGAACACTTACTGAATTCTTCTTTTTTTTTTTTTTTTTTTAAGATTTTATTTATTTATTTGACAGAGATCACAAGTAGGCAGAGAGGTAGACGGGTTGGGGGAGAGGGGGTGGGAAGCAGGCTCCCTGCTGAGCAGAGAGCCTGATGTGGGGCTCGATCCCAGGACCCCCGGATCATAACCTGAGCCGAAGGCAGAGGCTTTAACCCACTGAGCCACCCAGGCGCCCCGTCAGTCCATATATATTCTTACCATATGTCAGACTCTGTTCTAGGTACCAGGATTATAACAGTGAATGACTCACTGAAAGTTTTTATTCTCCCAAAACTGAACAGAATTTGCAGTTTGGGAAGATAAGATACATAAATAAAGCTGCCTTGCTTCAAAGTCACTTGATCTTTTTGTATGTACAAAAGTGACTTTAAAGGAAGATGGCTTTGTAAGTATATGTTTTGATGCACTCCCTCTGTTCCAGACAACACAGTGGTAGATAAATACATAAAAAACCGGACGACATAGCCAGATTCAAAGACAAGGTAAACATTTCTGTGGTGAGAAAAGAGAATTGAAATGCAAATGGGTGAGTTGGGCTGAAGTTACAGGTTTGCTGGGCTCCAGTCAGAAAGCAGACAGTGGGGACAAGCCAGGCTTACTGCTTAAACCCAGAGTATAAAGTAGGGCTTTTACCCCTTTCCCATTCCCATCGCTACCCCTCAAGGAAAGTAGAGCCAGGGAGTAGGGGTGTTATTAGTCACCTGCCTGGGTCTTTAGGGGCTTTTGTCAAGCTTCAGGCCTATGGAGACTCGACTGTATGCATACCAAGAATTAAACCAAGCTGCCCACCATTTATGAGTGTTACAGCCATGATATTCTCTAAAAGACATAAGCTCTAACATGCCAAGGAATGGCGTCCATTTTTAAAAAGGAAATGATAAAACAGAGAGAGGCAGAAATGAAACATGAATCTATAGAAATAAGAATCATTTAGAAACCTTGGAAACGTAAAAATCAGTCATGAAACCCAAACCAAACCAAACAACCCCACAAGGGCACCTGACTAGCTTGGTTGGAAGAGCTCACGACTCTTGATTTCAGGGTTGTGAGTTTGAGCCGCATGTTGGGTGTAGAGAATATAAATAAATAAACTTTAAAACAAAGAAGAAAGAACTCCACAAACCAGGCTTCGGTGGAAGGCATCAACTCTAGACTGAATGAAATTGAAGGGAAAACTAGAGATTTGAGAGACAGTACTGAGATTCATGGAGAATGCAGCCCAGAGAGATGGACAAAAGAACTGGAAGAGTGTTTGAGACATGGAGGAAGACATTTGCTTCCAGCAGTCTAGCACACTGGGCACTCTGACCAGCCTTACTACCGCAAACAACTAACAGTGCTGGGTAAAAGATTTTTTAAATGTTCCGAATGCTTCAGATCAGTCAGTTGACAAATTAGTCAAAAATACTCAGTGGCCAGAAACCAAACAAAAGTGTGAATACAAAGATACTTTATTTCAGGGGGGTCTGGCTGGCTCACTCAATAGAGCATGCAACTTTGGATCTCAGGGTTGTATGTTCAAGCCCCATGTTGGGTGTAGAGGGTTACTTAAAAGTAAAATCTTTAAAAAAAAAAAAAAAAAAAATCTGGGGCGCCTGGGTGGCTCAGTGGGGTAGGCCTCTGCCTTCGGCTCAGGTCATGATCTCAGGGTTCTGGGATCGAGCCCCGCATTGGGCTTTCTGCTCGGCGGGGAGCCTGCTTCCTCCTCTCTCTCTCTCTCTGCCTGCCTCTCTGCCTGCTTGTGATCTCTGTCTGTCAAATGGGTAAGGTCTTTAAAAAAAAAAAAAAGAAAAGAAAAAAGAAAAAAATCTTAAAAAAAAACAAAACAAGGTACTGTGTTTCAGCTAATCTGTCATTAAAAATACTGCTGATTAATATGTTAATAAAAATAATTTTTAAGAAAATACTGCTGGGGTGCCTGGGTGGCTCAGTGGGTTAAAGCCTCTGCCTTCGGCTGGGGTCATGGTCCCAGGGTCCTGGGATCAAGCCCCGTATCCCCGCATCCGGCACTCTGCTCAGCAGTGAGCCCGCTTCCTCCTCTTTCTCTGCCTGTCTCTCTACCTGCTTGTGATCTCTATCTGTCAAATAAATAAATAAAATCTTAAAAAAAAAATACTGCTTATTAGTATCTAACATGTAGTGTTTAAAAGACTTATCTAGATTTTGGAGATGTTAACTTTTTTTTTAAATGCAAAAAAATGCATTTTGTAATCTACAAAATATAATTTGTAGACTACTAGCACCTCAAGAGACCTTGTTGAATTATTGGGATTGAACTTTGGTTTCTGTGGCCTTACAGAGCACAATGGAAAAAAAAAAGAAAAAGCTAAGAAAATTGGAGTACTAGTTCAGGAGGTCCAATATTTGAATACTAAGTATTCTGGAAAAGGGAACGAAGAGTCAGAGGGAAGGAAATCATCAATGAAATAATTTATAGAACAAGTAAATGAGTGTGCAGAGTGGAAGGGCCCATCAGGTGCCTGTCATGCTGAGTGAAAATAAACCCATGCTATAGTGTACTGTCTTAAAATTTCAGAATTCTGAGGACAGAAAAGAAGGGGGGGGGGATGTATACTACAGACTTCCAAAGGGGCAAAAGAAGTCACATACAGAATTTCAGGAATCAAAATAGCTTTGCTTTTCTCAAAAGGAACACTGAAAACCAGAGAGTGATGAAGCAAAGCCTTTAAACTTCTGGGGGAGGGGCACCTGGCTGGCGTGGTCTGCTGATCTCTGGATGGCAGGTTCGAGCCCCGTGTTGGGTGTAGAGATTACTTTCATTTTGTTTTTTTAAGATTTTATTTATTTATTTGACAGAGAGACAGTGAGAGAGGGAACACAAGCAGGGAGAGTGGGAGAGGGAGAAGCAGGTTTCCCTCTGAGCAGGGAGCGCGACGTGGGGCTCAATCCCAGGACCCTGGGATCACGACCTGAGCCAAAGGCAGACGCTTAATGACTGAGCCACCCAGGCGTCCCCGGTTTAGAGATTACTTAAAAATAAAATCTTTGAGGGACGCCTGGGTGGCTCAGTTGGTTAAGCAGCTGCCTTCGGCTCAGGTCATGATCCCAGCGTCCTGGGATCGAGTCCCACATCCGGCTCCTTGCTCATCAGGGAGCCTGCTTCTCCCTCTGCCTCTGCCTGCCATTCTGTCTGCCTGTGCTTGCTCTCTCTCCCTCTCTCTCTCTGACAAATAAATAAATAAAATCTTTTAAAAAATAAAATAAAATAAAATCTTTGAAAGAAAAAATAAAATTCTGAAGGAAAACAATTTACAGCCTAAAAACCTATACTCACCTGAACTACCATTCAAGTGCAAGAGTAAAATACCTGAAAATCTTTATCTAAAAAAAGTTATTTTCATGTTTTTATTGGTCATTTATGTATCCTCATCTGTGAAGTATCTATGCAAGTAGCCCATTTTTCTTTCTGTTGTTTTTTTATTTTTTATTTTTTAATTTTTTTTGGAGTTCCTTATGTATTCTGGAGAGCAAATCTTTTGTCATTTATATAGCATGGGGATAGAGAATTAACCACTGACACAGAATAGAGAATTCAGAAATAGATCCTCATAAATATGGAAACTTAAGAGCCAGCATTGCAGATCACCAGAGAAAAAGGATAAACTTTTTAAGAAAAAGTGGTGCAGGGGCACCTGGGTGGTTCAGTTGGCTAAGCAACTGCCTTTGGCTCAGGTTGTGATCCCAGAGTCCTGGGATCTAGCCCCACGTCTGGCTCCCTGCTCTGCAGGAGGCCTGTTCTCCCTCTCCCACCCTGCTAGTGTTCCGTCTCTCACTGTCTCTCTGACAGAAAAATAAGTAAAATCTTTTCCAAAAGATAGTGCAAAGACAATTAGTTATACATGTGGGAAGGAAATGATCCCTCCATTTCAAGTGGATTAAAGATTTAACTGTAAAGGCTAACCTATAAAAGATTTAAAAGACCATACATATATAAAACTATCTTATAATCTCAGGGCAAGGCAAATTCAACAAAACACACCAAAAGCGTAAATCACAGGAAAAGACTGATGAATTCAAATTCAAATTAAGACCTTCAGTACATCAAAAGTAAAATAAAGTCAAAAGACAAGCCACCAGCTGGGAGAACATATTTAAAACACATGTAACTAGCAAGGATTAATATCCTAGATTCTTTGTCAAAAACTACAAAGTCAGCTGTCAGAAAAATGAGTAAGTCCAGTAGAAAAAGACAAATGGGCATTTCACAGAAGAAATCATATGACCAATAAATACATGGAAATTAACCTCCTTGGTTATTCAAAGAAATTTAGATTAAAACTTCAGTAAGAAGCCACTCGTGCATACCAAATTAGCAAAAATTAAAATAATGACAATATTTGGTAATAAAATGGATAAAAGTCCATTTGGAAAAGAGTTCAACATTATCCAACCAAAGCTCAAGATGCAGTTTCCCTATGATCCAGTAATTCTACTCTAGGCGTGTATAAAGGAACTTGGCATTTGTATACCAGGAGACACACACTAGAATATTTATAACACACTGTTTATAGATACAAGGATATAAAACTGGAAAGAAACCCAAAAGTTCAGGATAGTAGTTACTCCGGAGGAAGAGGAAGTGGTATAGGATTGTGGCAGGGGGTAGAGCACACGAGCTTCAGAAGTAATTAAATCCTTTTTCTTAAACTGAGTGATGGGTACACTATTCCTCATGTAGTTTATTATTCCTTACATGTATTTCAGTTAAAAAAAAAAAAAAGACATGGAAGCTAGATTAGCGAATTCTGCTTATTTATTTATTTTTAAGACTTTTTTTTTTATTCATTTGATAGAGATCACAAGCAGGCAGAGAGGCACACAGAGAGAGAGAGGAAGGGAAGCAGGCTCCCTGCCGAGCAGAGAGCCCGATGCGGGGCTCAATCCCAGAACCCTGGGATCATGACCTGAGCTGAAGGCAGAGGCCTTAACCCACTGAGCCACCCAGGCGTCCCCGAATTCTGCTTATTTAATAGGCATTCTAGAAGAAGATAATGGAGGGGAATGGCAAACAAGCAGTATTTCAAGTGGTAAGGGAAGAAGATTAACTGAAGCTATCTATAAAAAGGAAAGACATAGGGGCGCCTGGATGGCTCAGTTGGTTGAGCATCTGCCTTAGGCTCAGGTTATGATCCTGGGGTCCTAAGATCGAGCCCCAAATTCAGCTCTCTGCTCAACAGGGAACCTGCTTCTCCCTTTCCCCCTCTCATCCACACTTGTGCTCTCTCTCAAATCAATAAATAAACTCTTAAAAAAAAAATAGGGGCATCTGGGTAGCTCAGTTGTTAAGTGTCTGCCTTCGGCTGAGGTCATGATCCCAGGGTTCCGGGCCCCGGGATCGAGCCCCACATCAGGTTCCGTGCTCGGCGGGAAGCCTCCTTCTCCCTCTCCCACTCCCCCTGCTTGTGTTCCCTCTCTCACTGTGCACGCATGCGTGTGTGTCTCTCTCTCTCTCTCTCTCTCTCTCTGTCAAATAAATAAATAAAATCTTTAAAAAAAATAAAAATAAAGTGGTATTTTGTATAAGAGTAAGGAGCAGTCCAATTCTAGAAGCTTCCAGGCAGCAGAGTTCTCTTGGAATGTCTTAAGATTGGGAGAGTGAAATAATGTGCTTCAGGATCACAGTGAAGCCTTGGCCCAGTCTCACAGGTGTCCCCACTTCCTTTCCTCTTCAGAGAGTACACACTAGATGTGTACAGACTCTCGTCCGTGGTCACACAGCACGATGCCAAGAAAGCTGGGGCTGAGGTGGTAAAGCAGGTGGAGCACCCTTTGCTGAGTGGTCTGCTGTACCCCGGATTACAGGTACTCGGGAGGGATGTTGTTGCCCAGGGACCTTTTCCACCCCCTTTCTGACTACTGGTCACCGAGCCCCGGTGAAACCCAGGTCCTTCGTTCCCTTGCTGTGCTGCAGGCCTGCCTTCCTGTCTCCCTCCCCTCCCCTTTCTTGCAAGCCTTGGACTTCTTCAGCTGTAGGTCCTCCCCTAGCTGTCTGCCCTTGAAAACACTGCTCTTCTCACACATCTTTTTTTTAATTTATAAATCAGTTTATTTGCAGGTTTTACATTTTCTTTTTCTTTCTTTTTTTTTTCCTTTTTTTAAGTGAGCTCTGTGCCCAGTGTGGGGTTTGAACTCACAACCCTGAGATTAAGAGCTGCACCCTCCACTGACTGAGCTAGCCAGGTGCCCCCAGATTTTATATATTTTCTTGTAAAGTGCATTTCAGTTAACAACTCTGTTTACACAAGGAGACATGGGAGTTCCCACCAGTTACTTACAGATCATACTGACAGACCACACCCTAAGTCTTCTGTGCAAAGGCACTGCGTGTGACTCTTGGCTGAAAATGATCAGATGACTTTTTACATCTACGTAGTAAATGGGGTTTGTTTTTCATGTCTGCAGAATATACTATACATGCGGAAGCCAGTCCTCCCAAAGAATGCTTTGCAGTGTCACATACCCTTTTTATGTTGATCATGATCTCTTAAGTGAAGAAAATTTCAGAGTAATGTGCAAAAATGAATTTTAGGCGGGGCATCTGGGTGGCTCAGATGGTTAAGCAGCTAACTCTTTTTTTTTTTTTTTTTTAAGATTTCATTTATGGGGCACCTAGGTGGCTCAGTGGGTTAAATCCTCTGCCTTCGGCTCAGGTCATGATTCCAGGGTTCTTGGATCGAGCCCCGCATCGGGCTCTCTGCTTGGCAGGGAGCCTGCTCCCCCCTCTCTCTGCCTGCCTCCTCTGCCTACTTGTGATCTCTGTCTGTCGAATAAATTAATAAAATCTAAAAAAAAAAAAAAAGATTTCATTTATTTATTTGAGAGAGAGAGCATGAGATGGGGGAGGGTCAGAGGGAGAAGCAGACTCCCCACCAAGCAGGGAGCCCAATGTGGGACTCAGTCCTGGGAGTCACCCAACCAACTGAGCCACCCAGGTTCCCAAAGCAGCTAACTCTTTGATTTCCATTCAGGTCATGGTCTCAGGGTTGTGAGATCAAGCGCTTCATCAGGCTCCACACTCAGTGGGGAGTCTGCTTGAGAGTCTCTCTCTCTCTCCCTGCCTCTCCGAGACTCTGCCCCTCCCCCCACCATGCAGACCTGTGAGTGTGCTATCTCCTTCTAAAATAAATCTTTGTTTTATTTTATTTATTTTTTAAGATTGATTTTATTGGACAGAGAGTGAGAGAGCACAAGCAGGGGGAGCCTAAGGCAGAGGGAGAGGGAAAAGCAGGCTCCCCCACAGCAGGGAACCCAACAGAGGGCTTGATTCCCAAGCCTAGGATCCTAGGACCCTAGGATCATGACCTGAGCCGAAGGCAGACACTTAACTGACTGAGCCACCCAGGTACCCCGTAAAATAAACAAATCTTTAAAATATGAAACAAAATAAATTTTAGGCAAGATCGTATTTTCCATTAAACAAAGCGCATCATGTTTCTTGTGTGTGTATTTGTGTGAGCAAGGAGAAAGAAAAATTCAAACTTGAGTTGTTAATACTGTTAATACACCCATCTTTGTATATTTCTATAATGTTTGATACAAGAGGGGCGCCTGGGTGACTCGGTTGAGTGACTCTTGATTTTGGCTCAAGTCATGATCTCAGGGTCATGGGATTGAGCCCCACGTCAGGCTCCACACTCAGCAGGCAGTCTGCTTATCCCTCTCCCTTTGCTCCTCCTCCTGTTTGTGTGCACTCTTCCTCTCAAATAAGTAAATAAATAAAATCTTTCAAAAAATGTTTGGTATAAGAATACCAAGTCTTCCCTCATCACCTCCGAAAGAGCCTTCTATAGGTTAAGCCTGGAGAGACATTCTAGATCTACACTGTCCCCTATGGTAGCCTCTCTTCTAGTCATGGTCATATGTGGCTATTAAAAATAATTAAAATTGAAGTTTGTAGATTTCAGTCACATTGGCTGTGTTTCAAGGGCTAACAGGCCACATGTAGCTAGTGGCTAACCTGTTGGGCAGCACGTAATAGAACATATTCATCATTCCCAAATATCCTAGGGACAGTGCTATTCTAGATTATTCTTGCTTGCTCAACTGTCTCTTCCTCTCCTTCCTCTTCCTTCCATTCAATTAGACATGAAACCTTACCAGTTCTACTTTTAAATTCTCTTAAATGGGGGTGCCTGGGTGGCTCAGTGGGTTAAAGCCTCTGCCTTTGGGTCAGGTCATGATCCCAGGGTCCTGGGATCAAGCCCCACATCGGGCTCTCTGCTCAGTGGGGAGCCTGCTTCCTCCTCTCTCTGCCTGCCTCTCTGTCTACTTGTGATCTCTGTCTGTCAAATAAATAAAATCTTTTTAAAAATAAAATAAATAATAAATTCTCTTAAATGTGTTCTTGTTCTACATCCCCACTGACCTGGTTCAGCATCGTTTCTTACCTGGACTAAGATGGAAGCCTCTTCGTTGTTTTCTTTGTCTCCAGTCCAGAGGGCTCCACTCTGTGCCCTGCCCTCTTACTGGTGTGATGTTTCTACAGTGTGGGCCGGGGTGATGCTAGACACCCTAGTATGATGGTCAGGATCCTTCATCTCTGATGCCATCACTAACCACTTCCTACATCCGTTGAAGTTTGTGCTTTTGCATACTGAATCACTCATAATTTCCCTATACATTTCACACCTCTCTGCCTTCTGACATCTGTTTCCTCTGCATGGTGAAAAACATCTCCATATTCTTCAGAACCGAGGTCAGACACAGTGTGATTCCAGGAAGCCTTCACTGCCACCTGCCTATCCAGCTAGCGATAAGCATTTCTGTCTTTGTTTTAGTACTGTCCCTTAAATGAACATCTTGGGTAGCCCTTCGCACACTGCACTGAAATTCTCTGTTTACATGTCTCTCTTTTCAGCTGGGTAATTGGCTTCTTATAGGCCAAGTCTGGGTCTGGTTCAACTCTGCTTCCTCAGGGCTGGCACTAGGCCCGGCAGGTAGCAAGTGACAAAATCAGTTTAGTCTTGCCTTTTGCTTCTGAGTTCTCATAGCACTTTCTTCTTATCCCTTTTTTTTTTTCTCTTTAAGATTTTATTTATTTGACTCCCCTCTGAGCAGAGATCCCAAGGCCGGGCTTGATCCCAGGACCCTGGAATCATGACCTGAGCCAAAGGCCGAAGCTTAACTGACAGAGCCACCCAGGCACCCCTCTTATGCCATTATTTGACATTTGTCACAGGCTGTCTTACTCAGTGGGTACCTTTGACCCAACTATAGTGTGTCTTCTGCTTCTTCCCTCCCTTCCCCACTGGACTGTGCGCTCCCCGAAGGCGGAGGCTCTTCTTTTCTCCCCCATGACATCCCCATGGAGCGCCACTCACCGCAGGCACTAGGAAAATGTCCATGCAGCTCTTGAGGACAAGAGGGAGGCTGGATGATGCTTTATTTGCATCCCAGCCCTACTTTCTGAAAGAATCTGGTGATTTTCAAAAGTTTCTGATTTCTCAGATCCATATAGAAGAAATACAGTAGGAGTTTATGCTCACGTGTTGTTTCTTTCCCACAGGCCTTGGATGAAGAGTATTTGAAAGTAGATGCCCAGTTTGGAGGTGTTGATCAGAGAAAGATTTTCACCTTTGCGGAGAAGGTCGGTGTTCTCTTCCCTGTCTTTTTTTCTTTTGTGCCTCAGGTATGCAATTAAGGTTTACTGAATATGCCAGTCCCACCACTCGTAACTCTATTGTGTGGCAGGTGTTGTTCTCCCTGTTTTGCAGACGAGAAAACAGAGTGTAGAGCAAGTTGTCCATTATCACACAGTTAGTGACTGAGCAGAAATTGGCACTCAGACCTGTTTGACCCAAAAGCCCGTGCTCTTGCTGCCACCTGGAAGCTGCCCACAGACCTGTTGGATTTGCTTCTTTCCTAATAACATGGTTTCTAGGGAAAGGGACCATCAGTCAGCTACTGGCTTTTCCCAGAGCGTTCAGTCCATACTGCTCTGGATCTTACATAAACCAGTCATCTCTGAGATGAGGCTTAACGGGGTTTAAAGGAGGAAATCAGAGCAAACCCTTAGTAGTTCTTTTTGGGGGAAAGAACTTGAGTAGGTTGGAAAGGGCTATTGAGAAATGGTTGTTATTTTTGAAAGCTTCTCAAAACCTCATCTTGGCAAGAGTGTGGAGAAAACATTGTTAGTGGGAATGTAAATTTCCAGGAGGGTAGTTTGCCCTAATAATGACACAAGTTGGTGCTAAGGAAATAATTTTAAAAGTGCAACTTCAGTTATATATGAAAGTATTTATCACATTATCAATTCAAAGGTAAAATCTAGACATAGTGACACCTCACTGGTTCAGTTGGTAGAGCATGCGACTCTTGATCTCAGGGTTGTGAGTTCAAGCCCCACATTGAGTGTAGAGATTACTTAAAAATAAAATCTCTAAAAAATGTATATATATAGGGATGCCTGGGTGGCTTAGTTAGTTAAGTGGCTGCCTTTGGCTCAGGTCATGATCCCAGCATCCTGGCATCAAGTCCCACATCGGGCTCCTTGCTTGGCGGGGAGCCTGCTTCTCCCTCTGCTTCTGCCTTCCACTCCATCTGCCTGTGCTCTCTCGCTCTCTCTCCCTCTCTCCCTCTGACAAATAAATAAATAAAATCTTAAAAAAAATATATATATATATATAGATAGATAGATAGATAGATAGATAGATAGGGGCACCTGGGTGGCTCAGTGGGTTAAGCTCTGGTCATGATCTCAGGGTCCTGGGATCGAGCCTCGAGTTGGGCTCTCTGCTCAGTGGGGAGGCTGCTCCCCCCCCCCACCCCACGCCTGCCTCTCTACATACTTGTGATCTCTCTGTTTCTGTCAAATAAATAAATAAAATCTTAAAAAAAAATCTAGAGGAGCACCTGGGTGGCTCAGTGGGTTAAGCCTCTGCCTTCGGCTCGGGTCATGGTCTCAGGGTCCTGGGATCGAGCCCCGCATCGGGTTCTCTGCTCAGTGGGGAGCCTGCTTCCCTCTCTCTCTGCCTGCCTCTCTGCCTACTTGTGATCTCTGTCTGTCAAATAAAAAAATAAAATCTTAAAAAAAAAAATCTAGAAATAAACTCATACTCACTGGCAAGGGATTGTTATATGTTATGATAACTCCTCACAATGGAAGATTATATAGTATTTTTAAATGGATTTTGGATGTATTTTTTATTAAGTTTTTAATCTTATTTCCAGTATAGTAACATACAGTGTTAAATTAGTTTCAGGTATGCAATCTGCTCGTTCACCAGTTCTGTACATTACTCAGTGCTCATCACAGCAAGTGTGCTCCTTAATCCCTATCCCCATTTCTCCTCCCCCCCACCCCCCTTCCCTCTGGTGACCATCAGTTTGTTCTCTGTAGTTGAGTCCTGTTTCTTGGTTTGTCTCTCTTTCCCTTTTTGTCCCATTTGCTGGTTTGTTTTGTTTCTTGAATTCCACATATGAATGAAATCATACAGTGTTTATCTTTCTTTGACTGGCTTATGGTTTTCAGGTATATTTAATGAACGAGGAATGCTTACAATGTAAATTTTTTGATTATATACTTCATATTATTCTATTTTATCTCCTCTGTTAACTTTTTAGTTGAATCTACTTTTATTATTCTAGCAGAGATATGACCCATGGCTTGTTTTTGTGTGACTCACAAGCTCTAAGAACAGTATAATTTTTTTTTAATAAAGATTTTATTTATTTATTCATGAGATAGAGAGAGGCAGATGTAGAGGGAGAAGTAGGCTCCCGTGGAGCAGGGTGCCTCATGCGGGACTCAATCCCAGGACCATGGATCATGACCTGAGCTGAAGGCAGATGCTTAACCCACTGAGCCACCCAGGTGCCCCCCACCCCACCTTTTTAAATAAAGATTTTATTTCTTGGGACACCTGCGTGTCATGATCCCAGGGTCCTGGGATGTCAGACCCCCTTGCTCAGTGGGGAACCTGCTTCTCCTCTGCTTGTGCACTCTCCCTCTCTCTCTCTGACAAATAAGTGAATAAATGAAATCTTTGAAAAAAAAAAGATTTTATTTCTTTATTTTAGAGAACGATCACACTGGTGGTGGGGAGTTGCAGAGGGGGAGTGAGCAGGACAAGCAGACTTGGCTTGGTGCAGAGTGTGTAGCCCGACATAGAGCTTGATCCCACGACCCTGAGATCATGACCTGAGCAAAAACCAAAAGTCAGCCACTCAACCAGCTGAGCCACCCAGGCACCCCTGGTTTTTATATTTTTTAAGAGCTCTACAAAACATGAAGAAGAATATGCAGTAGAGACCCTATGTGGGCAAAGTCTCTAAGTCTAAAAATATGTACCATTTGGTCCTTTGCAGGAAAGTTTTGCTCACCTATGCCCTAGAGATTACAGCATGTGTCTTTGTAACGTATAACACTTTAAATTCGATATTTTTACCACTTCTCAATGATGTAAAAACCTACAATTTTATCCATTTAACTCCTTCTGCCCTTTGTGCTGTTGTCATACAGTTCACTTCTACATGTATTTTAAATCCCAAAGACTTTATTATAATTCCTTTTTAAGCACTCCATTTTTTTTTTTTAAGATTTTATTTATTTATTTGACAGAGATCACAAGTAAGCAGAGAGGCAGGCAGGGGGGCGGGGAAGAAGGCTCCCCACTGAGTAGAGGGCCCGATACGGGTCTTGATCCCAGGACCCTGAGATCATGACCTGAGCCAAAGGCAGAGGCTTAACCCACTGAGCCACCCAGATGCCCCTTAAGCACTCAATTTTCCTATACACTTAGCCCTACTCACTCTTCCTGGTACTCTTGATCCTTCCAGGGCTTCTGTGCGTCTGGGCTTCCATCTGGAATCATTTTCCTTCGACCTGAAGAGCCTCCCCCCATCCAATTTGGCATTGGTAGTGCACGTCGTTAATAATAAGTTCTTTCAGCTTTCTTCTGAATGAAAACATCTTTCTTTTGTTTTCACTGGATATCAAATTCTAGGTTGGCAATTATTTTTCTTTTTAACACTTTAAATTTAGAGTCATCCCATTGCCTCTTGCTTCCCTAGTTTCCATTGAGAAGTCACCTGTAAGTATTATTGTTTCTCCTTTATAGATAATACAGCTTTTCTCTGGCTGCTTTTAGAGTTTTCTCTGTCTCTGATTTTCAGCAATTTGACTATGATGTTCCTGGGTATAGTTTTCTTGGTATTTATCCTACTTGGATTTTGCTGAGCTTCCTGAGTCTGTTTTCTTCAATTTGGAGAAATTGTCCCCTATTATTTCCTTAAATATTGCTTCTATCCTATTCTCTCTCTCCTGTGCTAGGACCCTAATTCCCTAATTATACGTATGGTCGACTTCTTGACCATGTCCCACACTTCTCTTATATTCTGTTCTGTTGTTTCCCCCCGCCTTTTTTTTTTTTTTTTTTTTGTCCTTTCTGTACTTAGTTGGGTTATTCTCTGCTGACTTTTCTTCAAGTTCATCAAACCTATCTTCTGTTAAGTCCATCCAATATCGTATCATGCCATTTTAGAACTTCTAGTTCGTTCTTTTTTATAGATTCCAGTTCTCTCTTGAAATCCTGTCTTTTATCCATTTTGTCCATCTTTCTCTCTGTTTCCTTTAACATACCAATCATAGTCATTTTGACATCCTGATCTGTTTATCCCAATATCTGGATTATTCCAGGGTCTGCTTTTATTGACTGTTTTCTCTTAACTATCAGACATTTTTTTTTTTCTTTTTGCCATTTCTAATACTTTTTTATTGTATCAGAGACATCATAGATGTGTTGTAGAGACTCTGGATTATGTTTATAGGGTGCTGTGCTTTTTGTAGGCTGTTAAATTACGCCTTATCACCTTGATCCTGTCAGCACTGGTTCTAGGCTCGGTCAGAACAGGTCTGTTTCAGTTTTGCCCTTCCTCCTACGATGTGGTCCTTATTCCTGGGATGTGACCTTTCTGGAGTCTCAAACTCAAATCTCAGAGTGTTGACAAAGACCTCATTACTCTGAGTGGACCTGAACTTCATACTGTCTCCCCAGCACTGTCCAGTGTCTAAAATCTCTCTGTGGGTCTCCAGCCTCCCAGCACCTGTTCCCTGCTGGGCTTCCTGGTGTCTTTCTGTATGCACACACAGCTATGAGTCGGCTCATAAATCACTGGGGGAATTTTGACTTAGATTTGGGTCGGAGAGCTCGCTTTACTCTAAAACCCTTACCAAATCCCAGCATCCTGGCAGTACTGAACCCCAAACTCTCTCTCCTCTGCTTCATCAGACAGCTCTTCTCTTTTTCTCAGCACCTGGTTTGGAAAAAATGCCCTCAAGAAGAAAGCCAGGGTGAGTGTGGGGTCACCTTTACTTTCCCTTCTGTCAAGCTTGTAGCCCTACTGCTATTGCTGTTGAATGCCTACGAATGGTTATTCTATATATTTCCAGCTTTTAGAGTTGTTTATGGTGACAGGGCAAATCCAATGTAATGGAAAAATCACAATGTAATACTAATAGAAAAGCAGTTGAGAAAACAGACACCTTTTTTTTTTTTTTTTTGAGAAAAAGAAAACTTGTTTATGTTATATACACCATCAAAAGGCTGTATGTTCAATACAATGGCGTATTACTCAGCCTCCCAAAAAATGAAATGTCATCATCTGCAATGACATGGATGGAACTAGAGTGTATTATGCGAAGTGAAATATGTTGGTCTGGGGCACCTGGGTGGTTCAGTCGGTTAAGTGTCTGCCTTCAGCTCAGGTCATGATCCCAGGGTTCTGTGATCAAGTCCTGCATCGGTCTCCCCACTTAGGGGGGAGCCTGCTTCTCCCTCTCCCTCTGCTTCCCACTCTCCCTGCTGTGTTCTTTTACTCTGTCAAATAAATAAAGTCTTTAAAAAAGAAAAGAAGTCAGTCAGTCAGGGTAAGAAAAATACCATATGATCTCACTCACATGGAATCTAAGAAACAAAACAAATGAGATGAAAAGAGAGAGAGGCAAAGCGAGAAACAGACTCTTTAACTGTAGAGAACAAACTGATGGTTACCACAGGGGAGGTGCGTGGGGGACGGGAGAAACAGAGGATGGGGCTTAAGGTGTGTGCTTGTTGTGATGAGCAACAGGAGACGAATGGAAGTGTAGAATCACTAAATTCTATACCCGAAACTAATATTACGGTGTATGTTAACTAAGTTTAAGTAAAACCCTTATTTTTTTTTAATTTTTTAAAGATTTATTTATTTATTTATTTATTTGACAGAGATCACAAGTAGGCAGAGAGAGGGGGGAAGCAGGCTCCCTGCTGAGCAGAGAGCCCAATGCGAGGCTCGATCCCAGGACCCTGAGATCATGACCTGAGCCAAAGGCAGAGACTTAACCCACTGAGCCACCCAGGCACCCCAAGTAAAAACTTTAAAAAAAGAGAGGAAGAAAGAAAGGTTGTATGTTCAGTTAAAAAAAAAATAGAGATTGGAAAAGCTATATCAAACTATCACATTGCTGGACAAGTTAGATGAGACTGGGGCACTGAGGAGGAATTTATACTAACAGCAGCTTTGTGTGTTTCTTTCTAACCCCCCAGTACCTCCCTGCACTCGGCTACTCAAAACGGGTCCATCTGATGAATCCCATGGTTCCAGGATTAACTGGCAGTAAAATGAGCTCCTCAGAAGAGGTACGTTTGCCAACTCTGACTTGAGTTTAGAAATCCTCAGCAAGAGATAAAAGGATTGAAGACTCAAAAGATTTCCCCTCGCTAACCAGAATTCTTGTAGATCTGAGTTCCAGGGAATCTGAAGCCATCCAGGTAATTTCAGTGGTTCTTGAATATTGAAGGACCCAGAAACAGTCCTGATGAGATCCCATCATAACCTTAACACTTTCCCTGCGGCTGGTAAAATGCACAGGCAAAAGTAGTTTCTTCGTTCATAGAACTGTGCTCAACGTCAGCCTTATTCATGATGAGGTTAGTGAGGCTAGGGTGACATTTCACTGTAGAGCATCTGGATTCTCGGGCTGATGTTTGCTGTAACTACTGTGATAAATACAATATCTTCTAACAGTTAGAAGTCCTGCTTCAGAAGAATACACTTTTGTTTTGATCACTGAGGATACAGAATGGAGGACGTAGTGGAAACCCAAAGATGGGAAAGGTTGCTTTCTGGGTTCCCAAACACAGCTGAGCTTCAGAACCACCTAGGGAATTTAAAAACAACAACAACAAATGTTGCTTTGGCTGTTCTTAGAGATTCTGTGATGAAGTGGTTCTGGGGAACATTAGGAATCTGTATTTTCTTTCAAATTCCACCAGGTGATTCTGACTGAAGTCACATTTGGGTGTTCTTCTAGTTCTTTAAATCTGACTTTTCAATCTTTGATCGGAGATCAGTAAATACACACGTGGAACCTGTTGTTATTTTTTCAAGGAATATATAAAATATTTGTTTTTCTCTGTGTTAAAGTCTTCCATGTATCAGTTATTTCTCTGACAAAATATCATATCACTCACCCTGTTTAGTGACTTTCACCGTATCTTGGCCCTGGAAGTCAGTGTTAGCAGCAGTTCCTGAACATGATTGCATCAGAATCACTTAGAGAGCTTTTTAAAGATACCAATACCTGGCCCAACCTCAAGAGATTTTGAAGATTTTTTTTTTTTTTTTAATTTATTTGACAGAGAGAGAGAGATCAGAAGTAGGCAGAGAGGCAGGCAGAGAGAGAGGGGGAGAGATTTTGATTCATCTTCCAGTAACTTCCTTTTTTCACCCCAGATGACTCATACGCAGGCATACACAGACCAGAATTTGGTAACCACTGAACCCAAAGAACCATGCGCTTACTCACTCCAAAATAAGAAACAGTTTCTACTACCTAAAAAGAGAAGATGGCTCTATTTACTAGATAGTACCTGGGTTGGGGGTTTGCCATGCAGCAAGCCACTCACATACTGTTTTGGGCAATGACCAGGAATACGCCCCTTTCGTAAAATAGTTTTGGGCCTGGCAGTTTCGGGTAGGTTAAGGAAATAATCCTAGAGAAGGCAGAAACAAAAACAGTAAAAACCTCTGCAGAGATGTTCATTGTACTATTGTATATAATTTGTCAAAATTAGAACATAATCTAACAGTTCAGAAATCATCTTGTCACTAATAACTGGGAGTGTGATACAGCATAAAAATTAGAAGCAAAGGGGCACCCGGGTGGCTCAGTCATCAAGCGTCTGCCTTTGGCTCAGGTTGTGATCCTGGGGTCCGGGGATCGAGCCCTGCATCAGGCTCTCTGCTCGGTGGGCAGCCTGCTTCTCCCTCTCCCACTCCCCCTGCTTGTGTTCCCTCTCTCTCTGTCAAATAAATAAATAAAATCTTTAAAAAAAAAATATTTGGACACAAAGACTAGGTAGCCCCTCAGAAATACTTACAATATGGTCTCAAGTAAAAAAGCAAAGGGTAGACATTTGTTCTCCAACTGCGAGTTTGTAACGATTCTGCATATTTCAGGCCTGGGAAGAACACAGGAAAACTGAAATCGTGATTTTTGTCAGGTGGCAATATTGTGAGTGGTTCTTGACTCTGATTAATACTGCTTTTATTAAAGTTGTTAATGTTTAAACCTCTGTTAAAAAAAAAAAAAAAAACACAGATTAGTTGAGCATATCTCATTCCCCACCATAAACGGTCCCTTCTCCTTTTTGGCTTCTAGGAGTCCAAGATTGATCTTCTTGACCGGAAGGAGGATGTGAAGAAAAAACTAAAGAAGGCCTTCTGTGAGCCAGGGAATGTGGAGAACAATGGGGTTCTGTCCTTCATCAAGCATGTCCTCTTTCCCCTCAAGTCCGGTAAGACACTCGCTGATTGCTTCTTGGAGGCCAGGCGGAGGGAGCAGAGCTAGTACTGTGCTCATCCTTGGGGTTGGTTAAGAGTCTTCCTTCGGGCTTCCCTCTGACTTCTCATATACCAGGGTACACTTGCACTTGGGATGTGATTTCATGGCCCATGAGATTGTCACCAGGTTGGGTTCTAAGCAGAGTGTCAAGGTGGGTGGGGGTTGTGGAAATGAGGGTGGGCACAGGCATGCCGAATTAGAGCAAGACGAAAGAAATGGAAGGCACAATCCTTCCCCTTGAGCATGGGTGCCAGCTGGGTTGCCGGCTCATCTGATTTAAGAACAATAAGATATATAAATATATATATCATATAATAAAGTTGAAATGTGTAACAGAATAAAAATTGAAAATGTATAACAGAAACTACAAGTATCCGTACCATTTGAGCTAGGACTGCTGACTTTGCCATTATCGATGAGTTTGTTGGCATGGATCCTTTGTCTTACAGAGTTTGTGATCCTTCGAGATGAGAAGTGGGGTGGGAACAAAACCTATACTTCTTACTTGGACCTGGAAAAGGACTTCGCTGACGAGGTAATCCCAGAGGAGGAGAAATCCCCCCCCGAATTCCTTCTGCCAGACCTCTCCTTGGCCTAGCCAGCTTTCTAGCACCTGCCCCAAGTCTCCACTTGATGTTCTCCAGGGCTGTGTATCACGGGCAGTGGCTTAATGAGGATTCGGGTAGTTCACAGGTTAGGCGAGCAAATGGCCCAAAGCTAAAATATTGGTGTCCTAATCACTCTGCAAAGGATTTAACCTGGAACGAGGGACCAAACCCAGCAAGGTGAAGCATTTCAGGGACAGGTGCAAAGTCAGAGTTCAGAAAAGAAACACCTAGGAAAGGACAGCATAGAGGATCCTGCTGACCTCAAGAGACAGCTTAAGAAAAGAATTCCTGGATACCCATGAGTTTGGCACCACAGTGAGGGCTGGCATTACAGAGGATTAAATCCTCACAAAGCTCGTGGTCCAGAAGGAAAGGCGGACGTGTAAATAAACATCATTGCCATGTGGCTGTGCGATGATGGTGTATACGTGGTCCAGAGAGAAGATGGGAGGAAGTGATTACCGGGCTATGGGGCAAAGCTTTGCAGAGGAGATGACATCCAAATAGAGGGAATAAATTGTGCCTGACACAGGACGATGAAATAGCACGGTACAGAATCGCAAGTGGTTTGGTCTGACAAATTGGCGGAGTGTTGTGGGCGAGCCAGGCAGGGCCAGGTCCTAAAGGGAAGATGTGATAGTGGTGCATATGGGGAAGGAAATGAAGGCTTTTGATTGGCTCTGACTTTGGGTTGAATCAGCAGTGTGATTGGGCTGTCAGAAATGTGAACGGGGTCTTGCTGTAAGATATGGAAAATGTGGGACGCCTGGGTGGCTCAGTTGGTTGGACGACTGCCTTCGGCTCAGGTCATGATCCTGGGAGTCCTGGGATCGAGTCCCGCATCGGGCTCCCCCCTCCATGGGGAGTCTGCTTCTCTCTCTGACCTTCTCCTCGCTCATGCTCTCTCTGTCTCTCTCTCAAATAAATAAATAAAATCTTAAAAAAAAAAAAAAAGATATGGAAAATGTGTAGTCTGGAACCAGGGAGTCCATTCAGTTCTCCACTGGTGTGAGTACATTTGGGGCTTTGCATCCAGGCCTAGACTTCGATTTTATGAGGTTTGTTAGACAGTCTGGGCTGTGCTGGGGAGACGAAGGGGACTGTGTTAGGGAACAGACCGAAATCTTTGTCGCAGAGGCACAGTTGAAAGAACTGGGGATGTGTGGCTGGGAATCAGGCCTGCGTTCGGTCCTCCTCAGATTCATGGCAGACTTTCTCGCGGGGGACGGGTTGGATTTCTTCCTGTGGCCCCAGAGGGCTAAGCCAGGCCTGCAGGTGGGGCACGTTCAGGTTCAACATCAGGGAGAGCCGTGCAGCAACCTTTGTTGGATGGCAGTGGGCCAGGCTGCCTCACCTGTCCTTGCGTCCCCATCACTGAGGTGTTCAGGCAGAGGCCAGAAGCCCCCTGCAGGCAACACGGTGTGAGGGTTTGAACATCAAATAGAGGAAAAGTCTCCATGACCTCAGAGCTCTGCGGCCCTTAAGGCCCATTTTTTGGATGTTTCACAGCCATTGCTCTGAAGCTCTCTACGTGCAGTTTGAGGTAGCCACAAAACCCACACGTCACTCCTCAGCCCCATGAACAGTCATCTGTGGAAATAATGAGAAGGATAGAAGTAGTGGGTCTGAAGAAAAGCCTAGAATAGCACTAGCCCATAGAACTTTCTATGAGGGCTGACACATTCAGGGTGTGCTCTCTCACGTGGCTGCCGCTGGTCATGTGTGGTCAGCCTTTCTGTGAGCCCTGTGCAACTGAGAAACTGAATCGTACTTTACACTCAGATAGCCCCACACGGCTAGCGGCTGTCGTACTGGACAGAGCAGGTCTAAAGCTTTTCTGATGTTAAAAACTAAACATTCCGAAAGAAATGAGAGAGTATCAGAAGCAAAAATGGAGGCACTGTTGTATTACAGGTATCGACAGCTAAGAGATAACTCCTCAGAATATCTAGCGGAGCCTCTCAGGCTGGATTTGGGATATGAAAGTACCAGTTACAGGACACAAGAAGAAGAATCAAATGGCTGTGCCCCGCCCCGTACAAGCATCACTCACCATATTCACCCACATTATGGGACTGAATCCTCATTCTGACACTCTGAGATATAGGTATTCTCTTCAGTTCTTAAGTAAAGTATCCCAAACTTAGAGGGGTTAAGTGCCTGGTTCAGGGTCACATAGCCAGCTGGGACTCTAGCCCCGGTCTGTCTAATGCCTTCGCTCTCTCTTCTCGCTCGCCCAGCTCCCTGCCAGGCTATCTCCTCGGATTGCCTCTGTGGGTGTTTCTCCGCCTGTAAATAGCCCCTGGTTCATGCCACCGCTCGAAACATGAATGGGGGGACTAGAAGAATTTGATTAATAAAAACGTTCAGCCTAAAAAAAAAAAAAAAATTCAGCCTCTAAAATCCCTCAAGTTATTGCAGCTCAGGTCATGATCTCAGGGTCATGAGATGCAGCCCCACACTGGGCTCCACGCTGGGCATGTAGCCTGCTTCAAGTTCTCTCTCTCCCTCTCCCTCTGACCCCCAGCCCTGCATGCACTCTGTCTCTCAAATAAATAAATAAATAAATAAATACATCTTTCATTGATTTCTGCTCTTGATCTTTATTATTTCTCTTCTGCTGAGTTTAGGCTTTATTTGATGTTCTTTCTCCAGCTCCTTTAGGGTTAGGTTGTGTACTTGAGATCTTTCTTGTTTCTAGAGAAAGGTTTATATGGCTATATACTTTCCTCTCAGGACTGCTTTTGCTGTGTCCCAAAGACTCTGAACAGTTGTGTTTTCATTTTCATTTGTTTCCATGAATTTTTAAAATTCTTCTTTAATTTCCTGGTTGACCCATTCTTTCTTTAGTAGGATGCCCTTTAACCTCCATGTATTTGAGTTCTTTCCAGCTTTCCTCTTGTGATTGAGTTCTAGCTTCGGAGCATTGTGGTCTGAAAATATGCAGGGAATGATCCCAGTCTTTTGGTACCAACTGAGACTTGATTTCTGACCCAGGATGTGATCTATTCTGGAGAATGTTCCATGTGCACTAGAGAAGAAGGTGTATTCTGTTGCTTTGGGATGGAATGTTCTGAATGTATCTGTGATGTCCATCTGGTCCAGTGTGTCATTTAAAGCCCTTATTTCCTTGTTGATCTTTTGCTTAGATGATCTGTCCATTTCAGTGAGGGGGTGTTAACGGTTTTTACTAACACTAAGGTGTTTACTATTATTGTATTGTTGTTGATCTGTTTCTTTGATTTTGTTATTAACTGGTTAATATAATTGTCTACTCCCATGTTAGGGGCATATATATTTAAAATTGATAGATCTTCTTGTTGGACAGTCCCTTTAAGTATGACATAGTGTCCTTCCTTATCTCTTATTATAGTCTTTGGCTTAAAATCTTATTTATCTGTTACAAGGATTGCCACCCCAGCTTTCTTTTGATGTCTATTAGCATGGTAAATTGTTTTCCACCCCCTCACTTTAAATCTGGAGGTGTCTTTGGGTCTAAAATGAGTTTCTTTTTTTTTTTTTTTTTAAGATTTTATTTATTTATCACAAGTAGGCAGAGAGGCAGGCAGGAAGGAGTAGGGGGAAGCAGGCTGCCACTGAGCAGAGAGCCCGATGCAGGGCTCAATCCCAGGACCCCGAGATCATGACCTGAGCGGAAAACAGAGGCCTAACCCACTGAGCCACCCAGGCACCCCTAAAATGAGTTTCTTGTGGACAGTGTATCAATGGGTCTTAGTTTTTTATCCATTCTGATACCTTTTGTCTTTTGATTGGAGCATTTAGCCCATTTACATTCAGGGTAACTATTGAAAGGTGTGAATTTACTGCCGTTATATTGCCTATAAGGTGACTGTTACTGTATATTATCTCTGTTCCTTTCTGGTCTGTGTTACTTTTAGGCTCTCTCTTTGCTTAGAGGACCCCTTTCAATATTTCCTGTAGGGCTGCTTTGGTGTTTGCAAATTCTTTCAGTTTTTGTTTGTCCTGGAAGCTTTTTATCTCTCCTTCTATTTTCAGTGACTGGCTAGCTGGATATAGTATTCTTGGCTGCATATTTTTCTCATTCAATGCTCTAAATATATCATGCCAGTCCTTTCTGGCCTGCCAGGTCTCTGTGGATAGGTCTGCTGCCAGTCTAATATTTCTACCATTGTATGTTACAGACCTCTTATCCCGAGCTGCTTTCAGGATTTTCTCTTTGTCACTAAGACTTGTAACTTTTACTATTAGATGATGGGGTGTGGACCTATTTTTACTGATTTTGAGGGGGGGGTACCCTGTGCCTCCTGGATTTTGATGCTTGTTCCCTTCGCCAAATTAGGGAAATTCTCTACTATAATTTGCTCCAATACACCTTCTGCCTCTCTTTTTCTTCTTTCTTCTGGAATCCCAATTATTCTAATATTGTTTCATCTTATGGTATCACTTATCTCTCTCAAATTCTTCCCTTGTGGTCCAGTAGTTGTTTGTCTCTCTTTTGCTCAGCTTCTTTATTCTCCATCATTTGGTCTTCTATATCACTAATTCTTTCTTCTGCGTCATTTATTGTAGCAGTAAGAGCCTCCTTTTTTTTTTTTTTAAGATTTTATTTTATTTATTTGACAGAGATCACAGGTAGGCAGAGAGAGGAAGGGAAGCAGGCTCCCTGCTGAGCAGAGAGCCCGATGCAGGGCTCAATCCCAGGACCCTGGAATCATGACCTGAGCCGAAGGCAGAGGCTTTAACCCACTGACCACCCAGGCGCCCCGAGCCTCCATTTTTTATTTCCCCTCATTAATAGCTTTTTTTATTTCAACTTGGTTAGATTTTAGTTCTTTTATTTCTCCCGAAAGGGATTTTATTTCTCCAGAAAAGGATTCTCTAGTATCTTCCATGCTTTTTTTGAGCCCAGCTAGCACCTTGAGAATCATTCTGAACTCTAGTTCTGACATATTACCAATGTCCGTATTGATTAGGTTCCTAGCCATTGGTACTGCCTCTTGTTCTTTTTTGTGTGCTGTTTTTCTGCCTTGTCATTTTATCCAGATAAGAATAGATGAATGAGAGAACAAAATACTAAAAGGGTAGCAATGACCCCAGAAAAATATATACTAACCAAATCAGAAGAGACCCGAAACTGGGGGAAAAGGGGAACCAAAAAAAAAAAAAAAAAAATATATATATATATATATATATATATATATATATATATGTATGTTAGACTGGTGAATAGAGCAGAGCCCCACACTTGATTTTGGGTGTATTTTAATCTGTTAGAAGAAACTACCTCCCAAAATTTTAAAGAAAGATAAACTTATATCTTAATACAAAAATACAAAAATAAGGGTAAACATGATGAAGGGATGGAATATGTCTATAAAGATGAAAATTTAAAGATTCTAAAAAAAAAAAAGGGGGGCGCCTGGGTGGCTCAGTGGGTTAAGCTGCTGCCTTCAGCTCAGGTCATGATCCCAGGTCCTGGGTTCAAGCCCCGCATCGGGCTTTCTGCTTAGCAGGGAGCCTGCTTCCTCCTCTCTCTCTGCCTGCCTCTCTGCCTACTTGTGATTTCTCTCTGTCAAATAAATAAATAAAATCTTTAAAAAAAAAAAAAGAATTGATAAGTTGTTTGAAAAAAGAGGAAAGAATGTGATCAGGCTGGAGACTAGGACAAAGCTGTGTGCTAGATTTAGGGTACATTTTGACCTATTAAAAGAAATTGTATCCCAGAATTTTAAAGGAAAAAAAAACTTGTGTGTATACAAATACAAGGTTAAATTCAATGAAAGGATAAAATGTGACTATAATGATGAAAATTAGAAAAGATTTTTTAAAAGATATTGAGAGGATAAAATAGTTCAGAAATGTTAAAATAGGAAAGAGGAAAAATTTTTAAAAATAGAATAAGAAAAAAATAAAATTAAAAAAATATAACTTTGAAAGACTAAAGGATCATGGGGAAGAAAGCCATGAATTCTATGTGTTGCTTTCCCTTAGCTCTGGCATCCTGCAGTTCTCATTGATCAGTAAACTTGGTCTTGGCTGGATGTTCTTGCTGATCTTCTTGGGGAGGGGCCTGTTGCTGTGATTCTCAAGTGTCTTTGCCTGAAGTGGAATTGCACCACATTTGCCAGGGGCGAGGCTAAGTAATCTTCACAGTTTGGGGCTCCCTGAACACTTTCCATACAGCTTTGGAGGACAGGAGTGAAGATGGCAGCCTCCCAGTCTCTGGCCCATAGGAGCCAAGAGCTCAGGGCCCCACTTCTCAGTGCAACCTCAGAGAAAAGCAGTCGATCCCTCCCGTCTCCCTGGTCTCCGGCCGCACTCTGAGCTCACCTGGCCTGTGACCGAGCGTTTCTGTCTCTGGTGCACAGCCCCGTTTGCAGTCTCCAAATCCAGCAGATCCTGTCACTCATTCCCCCGCCACTCCTCCTGGAGGAGGAAAGAGGAGGTCCCTCCGGATCTGCCACGTGGGGTCCCTGCTTGAAGAGCAGTGGCCTGACTATGCCTCGATCATGGTTTAAGGTGACCCTGAGCTGAGAGCTCACTCCTCAGCTCCATCTCTGCAGCCGGCTTCCCTGCTCTGATACCTGGGAGCTCTGCCACCACTCAGACACCCCTGTTCTTTTTGTGTCCCCATGGGTCCTGAGACCACACTGTCCCCTTGAGGGCTCCACAGCTGGCTTAGCTTCTGGAGTGACATCCCTCTGCAGAGCAGACTTCTAAATGTTCTGATTTTGTGCCCCACTGCTCTTTCACTTGCCAGGAGCCAGCCCCTCCCCCCATGGTCTGTCTTCCCTTATGTTGCCTCGGATTCACTTCTCTGCCCGTCCTGCCTTCTGGAAAGATGTCGATTTTCTAGATTTGCTAGATTTCCTAGAATTGCTGCTCCTCTTCTCCTCCATCTCCTGTTGAGTTTGTAGGTGTTCAGAATGATTTGATAACTATCTAGCTGAACTTCTTGGACCTGATGATATCTCAGTCTCCTATTCCTCTGCCATCTTGCTCCTCCCCAAATAAAGAAAAATTTTTTTTTTTTTAAGATTTATTTATTTTTTTTAATTTGACAGGGAGAAAGAGACAGCAAGAGATGGAACACAAGCAGGGGGAGTGGGAGAGGGAGAAGCAGGCTTCCCACCGAGCAGGGAGCCCAATGCGGGGCTCCATCCCAGGACTCTGGGATCATGATCTGAGCCAAAGGCAGCTGCTTAACGACTGAGCCACCCAGGCGCCCTCAAATAAATAAATCTTAATAAGATACAATCCCTCAAGTTAGGATGGAATTCAGAGTCAAAAGACGTAAATCTCGGACAAGAAAATCTTCCTGAACCTGTGTCCTCCTCTTGGCTTTGTCAGCTTCACGGGGCTGCTCTGAGGGTCAGCGGCCTGGATCCTACACCACACATTGTCGTTAGTCAGACGTGTCATGCCCCCCCTCAGGTGGCTCCCCTCACCGGCCCTTTGCACACTTCCACAGGTTGTACATCCTGGAGACCTGAAGAATTCTGTGGAGGTCGCCCTGAACAAGTTGCTGGATCCTATCCGGGAAAAGTTTAACACCCCTGCCCTGAAGAAACTGACCAGCGCTGCCTACCCAGAGCCCTCCAAGCAAAGTAAGGCCAGCCCGGGAGGTCAGGGGCCAAGGGCTGCATGACGTCATCACAACAGAGCACCTGTCGGTGGGCTTCCAAAAAGGGTCTGTCTTAAATCGAGAGCCCGAGAAGCCAGGGGGTCAGAAGTGCAGGAATATCCTAGCCCATTGACCTCTGGAATGGAACTTGAGTCATCGGGATTTAGGTTTGGGCAATACTATGATTACATCCTGTTGTCCCAGTCTACTGGTGTGAGACATGTACTGTGATCCTTCACTCAATCCTTCAGTTAAGGGAGCAGTTGGGTTAGACCATGAGGGAACAGAGCTGCTCAGAGCCTGCACAGCTCCTTAGGGAAGCTCATCTTCAGCTTTGCCCAATTCCTTTCCGTATGCTTCTGACTGGCTCTTAGCTGGCTATCCACTTAACCCGTGGCACTGAGATATCAACATGGGTGGTTTTGTGTAACTCTCCCAACTCAATAAATGTATGTGGAGAGCACAAATGGAAACACCTAAAGGTAGCCAAGCTACTACTGCCCCCCAACCCCGTTTCCTCCCCGCCAGATACCTGAGGGAAACAATAGATGAAAATCTGGCATGTCACTTCTCAAAGGTTGCTGATCCTGGGTTTTGTTTTTTTTGTTTGTTTGTTTTTTGTTTTTTTTTTTAAGATTTTGTTTGTTTGACAGAGAGATCACAAGTAGGCAGAGCAGCAGGCGGGGGGAAGCAGGCTCCCTGCTGAGCAGAGAGGCAGATGCGGGGCTCCATCCCAGGACTCTGAGATCATGACCTGAGCCGAAGGCAGAGGCTTAACCCACTGAGCCAACCAGGTGCCCTGCTGATCCTGTTTTAAGGAAGATATAACTAGGGGGCCCCTGGCTGGCTCATTTGGTAGAGCCTATGACTCTTGAGCTCGGGGTCATGAGTTTGAGTCCCATATTAGGCGTAGAGATGACTTCAAAAAGAGAAAAGATATAACTAAAGGGGTAGATTCTGGAGTTCTACATGAAACCCTGCTAGTGTTCCCAGTGGGTGTGTCAGCGGTTGACCTGTCATGGCGAAGGAGGGTTCTGACCCTTTGGGGCTCTTCTCATTCCCAGAGACAGTTGCCAAAGGCCCTGCCAAGAATTCAGAACCAGAGGAGGTCATCCCGTCCCGGCTGGATATCCGCGTGGGGAAAGTCATTAGTGTGGAGAAGGTACTCATTTTTCACCACATCCCAGAGAGGCAGATGGGGTCACGTTTGTCTGTTGTTTCCATCTGAGGGAAACCTGGCCTGGGATGAGAAGTTACTTCCCTGAGGTCACATTGCAAGTCAGAACGCAGGTGCCTAATTGCAGGTGTCGGGCTTTTCCCTTTGCTGCCTCTGGACCTTGTGCAACCAGACACAGCCAGGAACTCAGGATGGGGGGAGGATATTAGTCAGAGGGAGCTTGCTTATCCATTAAATCCGGTCCCATAGACTCCTCTGGTCTGTACCACCTTGTCTGGACTTAGCTGCAGGCCTTATCTCCGATCAGCCGCTTGGTCCTGCTGTCCCATCCCACACACCCCTGAAAATGGGGAAGGGAGAGGGACTTCCTTTTTCCCCAGAGGAAAAGGTTATGCAACCAGGGACCTGGGACCATTGTGGACTTTTTTCTCTACCAGCATTCTTTTTCACAGCATAGACCCAGCTACGGAAACAACTTTGAGGTAGCTGCGGGTGCTCTCTGAGATGGCAAGGCCAGCACTGTCCTCCATCCTCCTCCAGGCTGGGGCAGTGTGTGGCTGTAATGGTCGCCACCCAGAAGGTTCGGGCCACTTAACCTCTGGGGGACACTGCTCGCCCCTCCTTTTACTCGAAGCCTGCCTCTTGGCAGACAGTAAAATGAACCCTCCCGACCCATTCTCCGGTCTGCTATCTGGGACCTGGAGAGAGTTTGCTCCAGGGGCCCCTGAGGAGCCTATGCCGGGGAGTGGTGCCCACCACGGCGTTCAGGGCTCGCTGGCGCCACCCGTGACCCAGTGCGTTACGGTCCCATCTGGCCTGACCTCTCGCGCAGCACCCGGATGCAGACAGCCTGTATGTGGAGAAGATCGATGTGGGGGAAGCCGAGCCTCGGACTGTGGTGAGCGGCCTGGTGCAGTTCGTGCCCGAGGAGGAGTTGCGGGACCGGCTGGTGGTGGTGCTGTGCAACCTGAAGCCCCAGAAGATGAGAGGCATCGAGTCCCAAGGCATGCTTCTGTGCGCCTCGACGTGAGTGAGAACAGGGGGTGGGGAGGGGGAGGGAATGGGCCCACGCAACGCCCTTCCCCACGCCAGGTGGAAGCCCTGAGGACCCAGTCCAAAAGATGAAGGAATGAGTTCCTGGACACATAACTGCGAATAATGCGCTTTACCTAAAGTCAGTTTTATTAAGACAGAAATCCGAAGGCTTGGAGCAGTAGGCACGTGCCGGAGTCTCTCTCCCAGTTAAGTCGGAGCCAGGAGTCCTACCTGATTCTGACTGGCCGATCGGGCCTTGCTTCTGTTATATCCTACTTCCTCCTGCCGAAAACCCAGATTTGGGTGTCTCTCCAGACAGAGCATTTCGGGGTAGCACAGGTCAGCCCATCCCAGTAGCATCCCGATAGCCCATCCCAGTAGCTCTGCCCTGAGGGCCCCTACGTAGAGGCCCTAAGGCCTTGGCTTCCACAGCAGCTACAGGCAGGCCACAGCCTCACTCCTCCCTCATCCTGTGTGTCTTCTCAGAGAGGGGTTGACCCGCCAGGTGGAGCCTCTGGACCCTCCTGCAGGCTCTGCTCCTGGTGAGCGAGTGTTCGTGAAGGGCTATGAGAAGGGCCAGCCAGATGAAGAGCTCAAGCCCAAGAAGAAAGTCTTCGAGAAGTTGCAGGTCAGTAGCTGGCCATGCCAGCTCTCTTGCCTGGGCCGCCTGGACTGGGTCCCCAGACTCCCCCGAGTCCACCTCGGCCCCTCCCCCGCCCTTCCTGCCTCTGTGCCTCTCCCTTCCTGCGTCCAGACCTTTTGGGGAGGGGAGGGGGCAGGCGCCTGCAGAGCATGGGAACCCTCACAGGGACTGAGCACCAACAGACTCCTTGAAGCACTGTGTGGGGGACTCAGACATTTCCTCTTCTGATCTTCAGTCCGGAGCACAGGGTTATCCCTGTTTTATCTGGCAGATTACCTGCCAAGGCCACACAGGGTCCCCAGAAGCCATGGAGCCAGGATTCCCCACCCCCACCCCCCCCCGGTCTTGGAGCACTCATTCTCTCTCTGCCCTCTGGGGCATGGAGTCTAACACAGCATGTCGCCGCAACCCCTGAATGCATTCCTTCCTTCAGCAAGTCGTGAGCCCCTGATGCGTATGTCGGCCCCTTTTCTAGGAGCTCCGGGCTACATCATAAACCAAGCAGCCACTGTTTTCCTCTCCTCGTGGAGCTAACACGACACGTGTGACCTTCCCTAGTAATCCCGCCTTTCCTGGCTCAGCCAGGGTATGTCTGGGGGGCATTTAGAGTGCTTTCTACCTGTTGCTTGGCCCCGCGTGGCAGGCACACTTCTACCCACTCCCTCCTCTCCGGCTTTCCCAGGCTGCTTTTTTGGATCACTTACTTTTCCAGGCTATAAAATAGGTTTCCAATGTAGAACCATCCAAAGTATAGGGAACATGAAGGAGACAAAATATCCATAGTCCTGACACCTAGTTCCTGGGAAATAGCATTAGTGATTATTTCTTTGTGGACCGCTTCAGTGCAGGGAGGTAATATATTTACAGTTTGAGTCCCACCATATGTTTATTTTTCTCTTTAACTGGATGCCAGAAAAACTTCCCTGTCTTCTTAAATACTGAGCGGTGATCTGATTGTGCAGTAGTGAATCGTAATTGTCATAATGTGACAAAATTATTTAACCTTGTTAGACATGGAAGTTGTTCTCAGGTTTTCACTATTGGAACGCTGCTGTCTTGGTACATAGTTCTTTGCACTTAGTCGTGACCGTTTTCCTGAACTAAATGCCTCAGTGGGCAGGCTTGCTGGTAGTGGAGAGAGAGGCACAGGAGGGAAGGGCTGTCAACGCCTCCCCTCACCACCCCATTCATGGCTTCTGTTTACTCTCTGCAGGCCGACTTTAAAACCTCTGAGGACTGCATTGCACAGTGGAAGCAAACCAACTTCATGACCAAGCTGGGGTGTGTCTCCTGTAAATCGCTGAAAGGGGGGAACATCAGCTAGCTACCCCAGCATCCTGCTCCCTTCTCCCATCTCCCAAGTCATCTGCTGTCTCAGTTTGCTCTGTCCTTTACCCATTTACCCATCTCCCAGGACACCAAAGCAGGAAGTTGGGGACGTTATCAGGGGTGGAACTCAGTAAGCCGGAGCTCAGCCTCTCCAAATCCAGAACCATACTGTTCCGACTGTCGGACTGTCGACTGTCGCTGAGCTCCAGGGTGGTAATGTGGGTGGGGCGACCACAGGGAGTCTCCGCTCTACCTTCTTCCCCTGGCAGCTGACTGGAGAAATCTGGTTTCAATAGAACTCATACAAAAGGGTTATGCCACAGTCCTTCTAATTGGAAAAATATTGGTTCCCGTGTTTTCCTAGAGTTCTCCCAGCAGCTGTGCCTCTGTCTGGGATCTGGTGCTTGAACTGGGCTAATTACAGCCTTTCCCCAACAGGAAATTGTGGGATTCAAAAAGGAAAGGGAGGGGAAAACAGAGAACCTAGCGGTCTACCAAGCAGTGGGCAGCCTTCCCCAGTGCCTGGCAACCCTGAGGCCCGGCCTGCAGGGCTCTGCTGCCATTTCTTTCCCTTGATCCTGCTGGGTTGAGACATTCCCTAAACCAGCTGTGTGTTAATATCAGAAGTAAGGCAGACGGCACAGCCTGAATCTTTCTTCAGAGCGAGGGCTACTTCTTCATAAGGCATCAGGATCAGAATCACTGTCACTGTTATGAATTCCAATAAACAGTCCGAACAAGAGTGTCTGGACGGGGCTGTCTGCACGCGGGGCCGTAGGAACACAAGTTTGGAGCAGCTGCTGGACCCCTCACCCAGGCTAGTCTTGTATCCTGGACTTTTGACCCTGTAATAGGGGATGGGGCTGGCAGGGGGCGGGGGGGCTGTGTGTGAAGTGGGTGGATCATAGAAACTTTGACTTTTTCTTTGGCGATAAAAGCAGAAGAGGCCGGGGTGTCTGGGTGGCTGTGTCAATTGAGCGCCAGACTTGATTTCTGCTCAGGTCAGGATCTCAGGGTTGTGAGATCAAGCCCTGCATCAGGCTCCGCCCTGGGTGTAGAACCTGCTTAAGAGTCGAGCAAAAAAAAGCAGAGGCCCCTGTGGGGTCCAGTGCTTAGAGGAGGCAGAAAGCATGTTTTCTCTCCTAATAATGGACCAGACCCCAACCCTAACCCCTGTCCCTCCCCTCTTAAGAAGCAGCAAACCACAGCCAAGTTTTAATCATTTAATTAATACCTTTGAATGAAACACACACAGCTTCTTCATGTGTCTCACTCAGGCTTCAGGGGAGAGGGAATGGATTGTTGGTATAGACATATCAAAGACTCAAAAATTTAAAGAAATATATATATACTTCTCTCTCTAACATTTTATGGAAATTAAAAATCAGAGGCTTTTGGTCTCTCCATTTGCACTAGGTCAAGCTCATTTACCCCAAAGGACAAAGAAGGGTTGCCTCTTCTAGATCCTCCCTTCTCCTTTGTACTCTGTCTTACCCAGTGGGGAAACAAGCTCAGAAAATTTTAGCTGAGGATAAGGAGCTCAAGTAACATTGAGAGGGAAGGGGGCGGGAGCCGGTCAAGAAAACACAGAAGCTGGGCTCCCTCCCACCTCCAGCAGCTCCAGGGCTGCCACCAGGGCCTGCTCTCATGGAGGCTTTGGCCTGGTCTTGGTTCCCAGGTGTTTGGGTCAGGAACTCTGAGCGGAGCAGTGCATACTGACTATCCTCGTTCCCCAGCTCAGTGGGCAGATGCAACAGGTACCCAGCAGCTGCTCTCCCTCACCCAAGGCGTTGGGTGACAGCTACAGGGAGACAACAGCAATGAGGGAGAGCCAGAGGAACCTGGGCTCTAGTACCGCATCCCCTATGCTCCCAGCTCTTGTTCTGGAGGAGTTCAGTCTCTCCAGAGCAGCAGCTAAAAGTGAGGTTCCTTGCCAGGCTCAAGCCCAAGTCACTGTTGAGGAAAGAGGATCAGGACAGAAGGGGTGGCCCCGGGGGGGTGTGTGTGCCACACTACTATGGAGGGAGGCGCCAGGGCCAGTGGGGAAGCCAGCTTACCTAGAGAGGTGGCACAGTCTGGAAATAGGTCATTAAAATTCCTAGAGAAGAGATCAGTAGCAGAGGCTGTCAGCTAGGGGGCAATCACCCAGCCTGCTCCCTAGGAGCACTGAACCCCCTCCCCTTCACTGACTAGGGAAGAGTCTGGAATAGAATGCACCTTTGGCTTCCCAGCCTTGTCATTCAGCGTCAGCTCCCCCCAGCAAAACCACCTGTGTTGAAAGGCAGCTAGAGAGAACACGTGCAGAGTAAACAAAGGTCCCAGAATGTCATCTGTAGGGCCAGGTCTGGGCTCAAACAAGTACTCCCCCGGGGCCACATCCCTCCACCCACCTCCTCAGGACTTCCTGCCCAGCTGGAAAGGACACAGCTTTGCCACATTGCCTCGGAAGTGTTGTGCCTGCCCACCCCAACCTGACTGCGTGGAACAAGGGGCGGATGCTTGGCATTACCAATTGCCCAAGATGTCTCCCGATTCTGTTCTCCCACTCTCGGAAGACAGAGGGCCTGTGGACCTCCCTGCTGGCTCTTCTCCCCCACCCCCATTCAGGCCCTGGCAGTCTGCCACTTCTTATCCCCTGCATGGAGCACCTGGCAGAATGGGAAGGCAAGGAGGGTGGTTGGTGGTAAGTTGAGGCACAGGAGGGCTAATCCCTGCTGCACCTTTTGTGCTTTGGAATTCCACAGCCCCGCTCCTGCCTCCAGCCTGGAGAAGCCTGTGGGGATGTGATGACTCGCCCACCTCCAAGAACTAAGAAATGAGCACGCTGGATCGGAGGGAGGGCACAGATTGGTCCCAGCTATGGGGGGGCTACCAGGGACTGATGCTGCTGCCATGTAAACAGGCCCTCAGAATGCGGCTTCGTGGGCCCTGGAAGATGGACATGCAGCTGCTTTTCAAAAGTGCTTTGATTCTGGACTACAGTATGTGCATGATTTGGACATGGGCCGGGGGGGGGGGGGTGCGGAGGAAAGAAACTCAAGTGAGGTGCTCTGCTCCCAACTGTGTGGCCTCATGGCCAGCAGGGGGCGCAGCCACCCGCTCCCACCAGCTACCTCCTTCAAGATGAGGCTAAGGCCAAGACCAGCAGCAGCGGCCAGAAGGGAATCCATTCAGCGGGAAAAGGCATGAGCCGGACGACTTGGAGGACGGGATCAACACCAGGCTTGCATAAATATCAAAGGCTGTGAAGGTTAAGGCTGCAGGCATCCTCTCTACTAGGTTAAGTGTCTGCCATATCCTCTTGTCCTTGGAGCTGCTCAGGTCCCTGAGATTGTATTCCTGGGATGGGTCAGCAGTGCCAGCGAGAAGGTGCCTGGTGGTCAGACCAGCTCTTTCTGTGGGTCTGCGGCGAGAAAAGGAAGGGACACTCAGCCAGAGGCCTCCCAGCTCGGTTCTGGATGGTCCACGGCACCTCCTCTCCCCCTCCATTGATCAGGGGTGACAGCCTACCATTCCCAGGCAGCCTGAGACCAGAAAAATCTTTAAGATCCAGTGACAAATCCCTAGTAGTGGGACTTGAGGCACCTCTTTGCATCACCAGTGATGGGGACCCCCCCTCGCGCACACACACACAGTCCACTGTACCTGAGCCAGGCGGGGCCAGCTTCTGCTCCTGGGACCCCACCAGCTGCACGACACTTCCATTCCCCGCCGGCTCCCCCTTAGTCCTGTCCTCAGCATGAAGGATCCCATTGGTGGGAGGGCCAGGAAGAGACTCAGCCCGAGCAAAGGTAGGGGAGGTGGATGGTGGGACCCCCCCAGAGGGCTTGCGGGCCACAGGTGGGGGAGCTTTAGGTGGCTTCTTTGGGGCTTGCGGTGACCACTGCTCTGAGATGTTCCGAAGCTCAGCCACCAGGTTCCGCTGGAGGTCAGCCTGGGCCTCGGGGGACACTGGCCGCTCCAGCTGCAGCTTCTTGGTGCCCTTGGAGAAGATGAAGCTGGCCATAGAGGCAGGGGACTGGGGAGACCGTGGCTCTGCCTCAGGTGGTCCATTCGGCTGGGCACTCCCAGGGTCCCTGCTGGCTGCCAGACTAGAGGCCTTGAGTCGGACAGCAGCATGGAGCCCTGAGGAGGGGGCAGGTGCCGGGCTGGCCCGCCCCGACAGGGCCCTTCGTAGCGGCTTCTGGGGGGCAGAAGGCCCAGCTGCTGGGGTTGCCGCTCCCACAGGAGCGCCCACAGAGCGCAGCCGCACCATCTGTAGGAGTGAGGGGGTGACCAGGGGCGCACCAGCATCCTCCCGGGGAGCTGCACTGCCTTTGCTGCAGCCCGCTGGTTCCTTCCGAGGGACTTTGGCCACAAGCCCTGGGACAGAACCAGGAGGAGGGGGTGCTGGTGGAGCTGGAGGTGGTGGCTCTGGGGAACCAAGGAGCTGGCTCTGGGAAGAGACAGTAACCGAGAAGGACGAAGCAGCCAGGGATCCGAAGGGCTCTGCGAGGCCTGAAGGGCCTGCTGGCTCAGGGCCAGCCACAGGGAATAAGGCCTCCTCAGGCGGGGGGAAGTCAGCCATGGACAGGTCCTGGTCCTCAGGTGCAGGAGGCGGGGGTGGGGGCCAGCTGGGGTCTTGGAGGGGCTCCTCTGCAATCTCTGGGGCAGACGGGGCTTCCACCACCTCTGGCTTCTTAGTGGGTGGGGGGGGAGGATGGTAGGATGGAGGCGGGGACGGTGGGGGTGACTTGTCTTTGGAGGCAATGGGAGACTCCTGTGGTGGCATCAGGGATATCTGTGGTGCTGGCAGAGGCTCGGGACCCACGTCAGTGGCAGAGACAGGCCCAGGAACCACAGCAGGAATAACCGGAGCAGGGGCCGCTAGGTTAGGACTCTTGGACTTGGAAGGGGGTGGGGAGAAGGGCGCAGGCACCTTGGGGTGAGGAGGTATGGCAAACCTATCCCCCAGGGTGGTTGACACCTGTGTACCAGAACGGTCTGAGGGGGCCGGGTCAGAGGACGAGGAACATAGAGACGTCAGAGAGGAGGAGACAGAGGCCCCAGGAGACCGAAGGGAAGTGACACGCTCTGGTTTAGGGGGTTGAACCTTGCCTGGGGAAGCAGGGGGCCCTGCGAGACCCTTGGGAGGGAGGGTAGGGGTACCACTTTGGCTCGAGTACCCACTGGAGGGTGAGAGCGTCCGTTCTGGAGAGCACGGGGGACGCCGGGAGCCACCCGGAGACAAGCCGGGCACCCAGACGCCTGCTGAGTTGGAGGGACAGGGGGCTGCCCCCATCACTTCTGACCCACCAGTGGTGGGCGGCCGGGGCAGCTGCGGCTGCTGCTGCTTCCGTTCGGGCTTGGGCGGCAACCCCAAGAGCCCATCAGGGGCTGCCGAGCCCCGCTGATGGAGCGAGTAAGTCCGGCGGGGAGGTGGGGGGGGCCGCTTCAGCTTACGTAGGGACACACTCCGGCCGGACAACTGCCCACTGCTGCGAATGCTGGCAGTGTCTGAGGCCTCGGCTGTGCTGCCCCCGCTGGGAGAGCCCCGCCCGCTGCCCCCCTGGGGAGGGGGCGCCACACCACTGCTAGCCACAGAGCCCTCCGGCAGGCCCTCAGAGCCACCCTTCGAGGACAGGGTGGAGCCATCAGACACGATGGTCTCGGAGGACTGAGAGTGACTCCAGGTGTCACTGGAGGAGGACGGGTGGCGGCTGCGGGGCCGCGGACTGGAGGCGGAGGAGAAGCGGCCCAGTGAGCGCACGGAGGCCGGGCTGGCGGACAGCAGACTGCAGCGGCTCAGCGTACGCAGGCTGCAGCGGCCCAGGGCCACCACATCCACAGTGGGTGGCAGGACAGCGTGAGGAATCAGTTTTGACAAGTAGGTGGCCTGGGGCGAGATAGACATGGCTGGGCTCAGGGGCTCCGGCGGCCCTGCCCCTCCAGTCAGTCCGGGCACCGCTAGGGACATGGGCCGGGTCACCAGTGGGGGCCGGGGCCCCGTGGACCGCCCAACAAGGGTGTCATCCCGGTAGATGCGGTCAATGTGGCGCTGCAGCATGGCCTCCGCCTCAGCGCCAGCCTCGGCCTGTGCCTCCAGCGCCTGCAGAGACACCCGGGCCCCAGTCCCCGAGGCCAGGCCCGCAGGGCGACCATCCACTGTGGGGATGCGCACCGCATCCCGAGGACCAGGAGGCCGAGGGGTACCTGGTGCCTCACGCTCGTGCCGCAGGCCTACGAGGGACAGGGAGGACACGGGAGTCAGCAGAGGGTACTGCCAGAGCTCCCCCCATCCTCACCGCCGCCCTCCTGCTTGGGGGCTCACCGAGTTCCTTCTGCACATGCTGCGGCAGTCCCAGCACGGTGCTCCGCCTCTCACGGCGCCGCCGCCCCGACTTCCCAGAGGATTTGGAAAATGAGTCATGGGGTCGGAAGGTAGAGCCTAGGGGCCAGTCCAGGGGAGAGAAACCGTTAGAGCAGGTCTCAGGGCACATTCTGCAGAGCGCCTGCTTTGGCAGAATAAGAAGCAAGAGCTCTGCAAAAACAGATTTCCATAATCAAGTAGGCGTGGGCAAAGCGAGGTTAAACAAAGCTACACACTTCTCTGTATGACTTCTGGAAAGCTTTAGAGGCCGAGGATAATTTCCATTTAGCGAACGATTATTATGTGTTAGTCAGCATGCTAAACACTTGGCATTCACTCCGACAACAGAAGTACTCTGATCCTCGTTTCATAGAACATCAAATGAAGATCGGAGTGGTAGAGAGTTGGCCCAAGGTCACCCAGCTGGGAAAAAGCAACACCGGCTCAAACCCAGGTTTCCTGACTTCTGAGTGTCTTGCTTTGCAGTCTGTGTGCATCATGAGTCTCCAAGAAACACAGGATACTGTGTTTCCTGAGTTCACTGACTCACAGAGCCTTGAGGGGTGCTAGAGTAGGAGGCAGAAGGGGAAAGCTACAGGGGCTGGAACCCCAGACAGTGCCCAACACCCCTCGGCCCATCCGAGAATCCTGACTGGAGGGCAGACACCTTTGCGCTGGATCATCTCCGATCGGATGGAGAGTGCGTCCTCTGCCATGGAGCTCTCAGCCGTGTAGGATGTGGTCTGGCTGCAGAAGGAGATGCTATCTTCGTCCGGCCCCATCCGGGAAGACTGTTGGGGGAAGAAGGAGATGAGGCCCTGGCCTCAGACCACCCCAGAAGCCTATGTAGGTCTCCTGCTGTTGCCTTTTCAGGGCTCCCCTTTGGAGCTCTGAACTCTGATTTTCCCTGGCTTCACCCAGCACTAAGCAGACACCAACTGGACTAGCCCGTAGGGGTCATCTAGTCTACCCCTTCACAATACAGGGAAACTGAGATCCAGAAGCCCTCAAAGCCAGACTTGCCAGAGATGAAGCAGGGAGGGAAGAGCAGAATCAGAACTGAGCTGGGGGCCGGGCTCACCTGGATGCTCTGGGTGTCTCCATGGTCCCAGCTGCCCTTATTCAGTTTCTGTTTTTCTGGAAGACACCAGAGAGGTGTGTTGGGCTAGGCCCCTGACCTTGGGAGGGGAGCCAAGAGTGGTCATGGACGGAGAAGGTTACCTTGCTGCTGCAGAGAACGGAGCCCCTCCTGGGCCTGTGTGTGCAGCTCTTCCAGGTGAGGCGGCCGCCCACTGGGGAAGAAGACATTGTCCTGGTGCTCCTCCACTACAGAGCCCGGCCCCTGGCCAGGCCCGCCACTTAGACGTTTATCACTCTCTGCCTTGGCAGAGCCTATTGGGATGGAGGAGGAAGAGAAGTGAGGCTTGAGAGCGACTGGGTCATGGGGATGTATGGGCCCCACCCACAGTCCCAAGACTACACACAGCCCCCAGAAGTACCCACAGTGCCTACTTCCCCAGTCGTACCACAACTCACACTTCTGAGCTATACATGCAATATACACAGCCCCCATGTTCATATACAAACTCTTCCCAAGTGTGCTTGTGTCTGACCCGGGGCACACAAGCCCACCGTACAAGCACAAAATTACCACAGGCTTCAGGATGTACACTAACAAACAGCACCCAAGTATAAACACATCAGAAACCAGTATCAAACACGGGGCCCCCCACATATACACACAACAGCCACAGTCCCCATTCTGCACACATACAAACAGTATCCAGATTCACAACTGTATCCACACGCCACTCAGGGCCCGACACAAAGCACCCCAATATATGCACAGCCCACAGCGAATACATTTCTGTTGTCTCCAGAGCCCAAGCTCCACTTTATGGAAAACCAACCACCCCTTTAAAACACACCGCTGGCCCAGGTCCAAGACTCTGTGGGACACTAGGAAGGGCTGTGGGCTAACAGCAGTCCTAACCTAACCAGAATTCCCAAGAAGTCCTGGGAGAAGGGACAAAACAAGACATGGCCTCTGTGTCACCTACTCACCCATGCGGCTGTCCCTTAGTGGAAGGACGGGGAGGGGAGAAGGCGGCCCCAGGGGCCCTGGACCCCCAGACAAGGCAGTCCCAGGCTCTCTTGGGAGAACTGCCCCAGACATTACCCCCCCACCCCGGAGGCCCCGCCCCTGGTGCCAAGGAGCCAGGGATCCATTACAAAGGATCCTATTACAGGCCCCGCCCATGGGGAAGCTGGTCATCTAATCCTGGGAATGAGGGGCTGTGTCAGCACTCTGCAGCCCCAGCCCCCCTTTAAATGGAACCCACAACATAAGCAAAAGCACAGGGAGGATCATGTGACCTTGGCAGCACCTTGTAGAGGGGCAGGAACAAAACAACCCCTTTAAAGGGCCACCCCCCACGATCAGGGTCTTCAGCTCTGACACCTGCCCGTTCCTACCTCCTCAACCCATTCTTCAACAGCCAGCTCCTGCCCAGGGAACCTGTGGGGAGCCCTCCAAGGTCAGCACTCCTAGGTCTCCTGACAACCCAACCCACTGAGTCTCGCCTAATTCCTGAATTTTACAAGTCTGGGAAACAGGACTGAAAAGGAAAGGCCTTGCCTAAGGTCATCCAGCAAATTCAGTGCCAGGACTAAACTCCAGATTCCCAGAGGGGGCTCCTGAATCACACTCGAAGTGAGGTCCCTCTGTCCTCCCCGTAAAAGTCCAATAAACTCTGGTCCCCGTGTCTTAATCCAGGCCTGAAAGCCCAGTTCCTAGAAGCGGAAAGCAGGAAGACACCTCCCCCAAAAAACTTCTCCACCGCCCAGCCCTCCGCCTCTAAACAGCATTTTGAAGAGCATGCCCCAAATTCCAGCAGCACTACTTTCCTCTCTACTCTGCTTCCCACATCCCATCCTCCCACACATCTGACTGACCTGGGGTCACAGGGGGGTGCTCTCAGAACTGAAACATTAGGATGCACCCACTACAGTGGGGGTACCCCTGGAGGAAGCAGTCTCGACCAAGGGCTGCAGGCTTCAAGGTCAGAGACACCTGGATCCATCTTCCCAAACCCAAGCAAGCAGCGACCAGACAAAGGCAGCGGAAAAGCCGCTGGACAAAGGCACATTGGAGGGCAGAGCAGTCTGGCCTCATTACTGCTCCCCATCCCCCACCCATTACCCTTCCCCGGCCTTGATCCCCCTTTTTACAGAAAGGTCTAGTAAATGGAGGTGTCAGGGTCCCCCCTCTCCCCCTCCCCAGCCACACCCACTCACCCTTCTTCTTAAAGAGCCCGAGGAGCACCGGGAGGCGGCGGCCCAGGAACACCACCATGACTGCGGGCGCCACTAGGGCCGTCCCCTATTCCGACCTCTCCAGAACACCAGGCACCGCCTTCACCATAACCCAGCACCAAGCGGTGCGAGTCGCCCGCCCAGCTGCAAAGCCGACTCCAGGCAGGGGAGGGGGAGGGGCTGCTCTCCTGCTCCTCCGCCCACCTGCGCCACGGACCCCGCCCACCCACCGACCCCGCCCCTCAAGCGGAGCGCAGAGGCAGGTACCATCCCAGATTCTGACGGGGAAACTGAGGCCCAGAGTCTGAAGATGCTTGGCTCTGGTGGAGAGTATGACTAGCAGGGCTGAAGCTACTCAGTCCCTGGGGGCAGGCCGTCCCCAAGCTCTTTTCTAAACAGTCAGGAACCAAAGCCATGGCAGGGGTCCCAGATGCCAGATGGATAGTGGAAGAACCACTAGACTACACTTGGCATGATGCCCAACCCCAAGTCCTCTTGGCTGGTGAGGGTCATTCCCTGGGGAAGGAACTCAGAGGTGGAACAGCCTGGCAGAAGCCCAGAACTGCCTGTGATGGCAAGTCCTTTGGCAAAGGAGGGGCACCCTGGAGGGGTGGGAGCCAGCCCAGGACACAGGGCCACGGGGAGGCCAGGGAGACGTCCAGAGCAGAAACACCATGGCTTGGTGGGAACAACTCCTTGTGTGTATGTTCAGACCCATGCCTTCCCAAGGAATTTCTTCCCACTTTGGTCTTGTGGGAAGCAGCCCAGAGAAGCACTGTGAACTCTCCAAGGTCACACAGCAGAGCCAGGCTTCATGGTATTCCTCTAGTTCCTCCAGCCCAAGATCCTTCCCACTGGCCCCACTCTGTGACTTGGTGACTGTTGGATCACCAGGCAGAGAGAGAACAGAATTAGCCAAAACCAAACAAAATGAAACAAAAACAACCCAGTCATAGGTAAGGGCAGTAAAAATGAGGGGTAGGAGGAGGTAACTGGAGGGAAGTCAGCTCCAAGTTCAATTCAGCTCCATCACACACAAGTCATAACTTCATATGGAAACAAAACCAATGAACTCCTTATAAGACTGTTGCACCCATTCATTCAATCAGCAAGTATTTATTAAGCTAGTATGGAGGCTATAGCGAATGGAGAACTTTATCTTGTTCACCTGAACACCTACATGAGGGCCTGTCATTCCGTGAGTTCAATAAACATTTGACAAATACATCAGTGAGGTAGACCCACGGCACAATTTTAGATTAGTTAAGACTGAGGAGCTATGATAGGGAAGGGGTGCCTCTAGGGGGCATGAAGGAAAGTCTAAGGAAAGGCCATTGGAACCAAGGCCTGCAGAAGGCGAAGGACCCAGCCAGGGCAAATGCTGGGCACAGAACCTTCTGGAGAGAGACAGCAGCAAGTGGAAAGGCCTTGAGGCAGCAGTGGGGTGGGGGGAGGTGTCTCAGAACAGAAAACGGGGGCCAGAGGGGCGGAAATATGGTGAGCAAGGGAGAGAATGGCAGGACCCAGGTCAGGTGGGGCCCCGGAGGTCAGCATGGAAGGTTACTCTGGGTAATGACAGCGCTGAGATCCCCTTGGGCAACTCCAGAAAGAGGAGCTGAGGCTGTGGCAGAGACAGTCTATAAAGCGCTGTCCCCAAACTCACCTCAGGACACCGCACTCTCACAGCACCTTTCTCCCTGAGTGGCGAAGAATTCACAGTGGCTCCCCCACCGCAAACGAGACCCCTCTGCTGCCCCTTCCCCATTTGCTGCCCCACCCCTCAGAGACCACTCAAGCAGAGGCTGAGCCCTTGCTCTATGGAGAACAAACTTCTGTGCAGCTGGATAGTCTGTAAGGCCACAAATCATTGAAATCCAAACAACAATCCTAAGAAGTAGGCACTTTTATCCCCATTTGACAGATGAGGAAATGGAGGCCAGAAAGGGCAAACTGGGAAGGGCAAGGTGGCATTTGTCCTGAGGATAACTTGAACCCAAAAACTATGTTGTCTTCTGGTCCAGCTACAAACCTGATCTCCCCTCTGAAGGGGGACCCTATCATCCCCACAAATTCGAGATTTCTTGGCCACATCCTCCCCTAGATCCTCTCTTAGGCCAGACCCATCTGCCCCTTATTAGTCCTGCTCAGACACAAAGAGCAGTAGCCCCACACTTGCAGGGTGATTAATGCCAGGGGCTGGGGGAAGGCAAACAGTCTCTGCCCTCAGAGATCTTACAACAGCCATTCAAGGCAGGTTCTCAAACATACTCTTCCATAACTGATCCTGGACTGGTGCAGCTCGGAGAGCTTGGTGATTTCCCAAGCTCTGGCTGGCTCCTAAACTGACGCCTTTAACCACACAGGGCACAGTCATCCTCAGTTCCCCCCTAACCAGGGGAACTCAGGGCTGAGCTCCACTCAGCGTACGGGAACAGCAGCTCAAGGTCCCAGTTCCCCAGCTGGCAGTCAGGGCCACAGCTGCAAATTCCCAGAGGATCCAAGGTTCTCACACTTGATAACATCTGGTTGCTCCAGCAACAGCCCCCCCCCCCCCACCCCCCACACACAGCTTGGCCAGACAGACCTTGAGGTCTCTCAGAGCCACGCAAGGCTCAGGTCCGCACACCTGCAACTTGCTTAGGGAGGGGCTCAGCAACCTGAACCTCAGGTGGCAGGCAGCCTCCTCACAAAGAAACGGGCTGAGAGAGTGGAAGGACCTCACCCAAGGCCACACTTAGAGTCCTTGTTCCAGGACCTTCTGCCCTGGCACAGTCCAGAGGTACAGCCTAGGGCTGAAGCTCACCAACAGCCTCCGCCTCCCCTCCTCCTCCACCTGCCTGAGGAAGGAAGCTTCTGGGATCAGAGAAGACACCTTGCTCTTGGCCACGCCCCTCACATGAAGGGCACACCAGGAAGCACACCGGCCAAGGTCGGAAACTCGGATCTAGTCCACCAGCAGAGGTTCTAGGCGCAGTGACCTCCAAAATGTCCCACTCGCCCCGCCACCCACCCACAGGTACGTGCTCTCAGGACCACATCCACAAAGCATACCCAGGCCAACCGAACCCAGGTCCTCC